AAGCCTGCGAGGTCAAAATCAGTCAAAATCAATCAAAAACACGTGTAATTAGTGTTGTTTTAAAGCCTGCGAGGTTAAAGTCAGTTAAAGTCAATTAAAATCAATCAAAAACACGTGTAATTAGTGTTATTTTAAAGTCTATAAGGTCAAAATTAGTTAAAAACACGTGTAAGAGAGAGAGGGGGGAGGAGGAAGAGAGGGAGAGAGAGAGAGAGAGAGAGAGAGAGAGAGAGAGAGAGAGAAGAATAAGAGGCGGATAGAAGCGTACCGGATATTACTTCGGCTAAACTATTAACTACATGATTACTCAGTAAGTCTTTGTTTTAAACGTTTAGAACACTAAAATACAACTGGACGCTTGAGAAACCCTCGTGTAATGTCCCCCTCATCTTTCTTTGTCATGGATTTTGCTGGAAGTTTGCTCGACTCGCACCAACACCATGTAATGTCTCTTACCAGCGGCGCCTTCGGCTGAGCTCCTACTCCATCGCAGTCCAGGTCAGTCGAGAGTGCTCCATCACATTTCAGAATGTCTCACTGCCACGACGAGCACCACGGTCACGGCCACGACCACCCCGAAGGAGCTCATGACCACACCGACGACGTGACTCCTGCCCTCCAGAAAGTCCTTTATGAACAGATCGACTTCAGTGCCTTGACGACATTCAACGAAGCTGAACCCCGCTCAGGAGCCGCCATTGCGCAGAAGACATGGGCACAACGCTTAGATCCCCAGCCCGAGCTGGAAAGTGATGCGGACGAGCAGCTGCTCATGACTGTCCCGTAAGTTTCTAAATAATATACAATGTGAGAACAGTCCTAACAGCGTGGCTGTAGCTTCACAGGCCAAGTCCGACTGCACTCAATCCTCCTCCGCACATCTACCACATCCTGCGCACCGAAGACACTAAAAGTATTTCTCAATCGCGATGACATCGACTTTACCACGGCAGCTGAGCTACAGCCCACACAGGTATTCGAACTATCGCAGACTTCAGAAATACAGGAGATTCCAGTCAAACGTGCACTATTTAATACTACAAGGAGTCTGGCGCTGTTCTTCGAGGACAACTTTGGGGATGGCGACGAGGATGTCACGAGGATGAGCTATGTGGCGTTCAAGGGCGACTTCACAAAGTTGAATAAGGAACCCGTGAGTTTCTTGTACGAGGCAGCGGCCAATCCGTCGGATCATAAGGCGATTGTGGGTACGAAAGAAGGCATGGATAGTTCGCTGGGTGGGCCCGGCGGAGGACGACATGGGATGTAGGACGTTCAAGCGAATTCATGGGGTTATAATCGCCTAATGAGCTTGTTTGGGACGAAGGACGTTGAGTTGTTGCTCAGGATGAAACGGATCCTCAATTCCAAAGAGTTATATTCAGACCTGGCTCCGTCGAGCTTTGACTCGTTCATATGGTTGACGACGGGGTGACAGAGCTTCATGTAGAGCAAGATCGTGTTCATGCGCATCTGTGAGAAGTGGAGAAGTGTTATTGGTTGCAACGAGAGCTCTGTGTGACAATACGTACTCTTTGCTTATAGCAACATACACCCGGCCATATTCCCCAACCTTTCCTTCCGGTGCCAACATAGCGCGCTCAATGCGGCTTATATCATATCATTATGGTGGCCAAGGTAGATAACTTCGCGAGCTTTTGTCAGCTAGTTCATGCCCATAGATATTTTCAAATGTCCGATACCACAGCGCCTTTCTTTTCAGGTTCTCTTCGTGGTGCCAATGATATCGCCATGAACCTTGGTCCAGTCGATGCTCTCGTCTCTCTCCTCGTCGATCAGGCCGCACAGAACTATAGTATCGCCTCGAACGAGCAGCACGCCCATAGCGATCTCCTCGCTGTCCTGTCCCCATTCCGCAGGAGTGATCTTGCGCTCGACGGTATCGGACAGAATGATGTTGCCCTGCCAATCGCAGCTGGTGAGGGTCCCGACAAGGTTGCGGCCATCCGTGATGATCAGGCAGACCTTTTCTAGAAGCGTGTTAGTTGAGCTTGCGGGTATCAAAGTAATCACGGCACTTACTGTCGACATATTTGAGCATTTGAGACATGTCGCGGTTCTAGTAGAGAGGATTTGTTCGAGTATAGGGACAAAGGGCAAGTGAAGAACCGAAAAATTTGAGGAGCAGCCAAAGTACAACACTATATATGCGTAAGGTATCCAGCGCGCGTAGTTTTCGTAGGTAGCTACCACACTGACGTGGATCCAGAATTCACAAAGCTCCAAGCTCTGGCGCGTCGGCTCCCGGCAATTCTTTCCGCCGGCGCGCCGTAGTATAAGAAATCTCCACTGCCGCAACAAAATTCTTCTTCTTCAACTCATTCAAGGACCTCTTTTATTGTGGGAAGCTTTGACTGCTGCGGCTTTTTGGTCGTGGTTCTACTGGGGCTTCCTCTGCTAGAGGCTCGAGACTACAAATTCACCGGGCACCGTAGCTGGAGCTGATCAGGAAGACCCGACAGGGCTCGCCGATGAGATCTTTGTTCCTTACCAACGTTGCTACACATACTTTGTTATAACGAAACCATAAATCATTCATCTTAGGTTTGTGCACTTCTAATGGTTCTAATGAATGTTGAACCTCTTTTCGCTAATTGCATCAATTTACGCTTATCACCATTTCTCATTTCTCTTGACGTTGTGCACGAGCTAGCCAGAAATCCCTGTCATGTCCTTTTGATTATTCAGTTTTGTAACATGGAATCAATGGCTACAAATAGTCTCGCCATCTTGCCCTATTATAGACGCGCGTGTGCTGCTTATATTCCATTGACGTGGCAACATCACTAAAGACAAAACCATAAACAAACAGGCGCTTTCATCTGTTCTCGGATGACTACATGAACATGGACTTCATACCTAGAACGCCATAAATCATAGTAACACGGCTAGCAAAAGTCATTGACAACCAAAATTACAAGACTTCTTCACAGAGCTCGCTGGGTCATGAGCATCTTCTCCCTTAACATCAACGCCTCTGCTTCCATAGCCTTTATCCCAGGCCCCGCGAACCTCTTTGTTGTCCCTCGCCTGCCCGGGCTTCTACCAGCATCTTGCTCAGGCACTCTTGCGAACATCGTGCCTGGCGGCTCGGTCGGGATTGGGGGTAGAGGTGATGACGGAGGCAGAGGCGACGAGGGAGGCAGCGACGTGACAGACATGACAATCGGAATATCAAAATCTTCGTCCATAGCCCAGGGAGGCGGCTCCAAAATAACAATGTTGTGTCTCCCGGTCCCATGCTCGACGCTCAGCTGCTTTGGTTCTAGTATCGGCGTGTCATTGAAAGATACTGGCGCCGGGTTTGATGTAGGCGGAGCTGGCAGAGATGGCTCATCTGAAGAGCCTTGCCGGGAGCTTGGTCGCGATCTGTGTGGGCTGGGTGTAGCTGGCAGTGTTGGTCTTCGCAGCAAAGGCTTTAAATGTGTTTTGGCAGGATTGCTTCTTGGCGCCGTGGGAGTCTCAGGGAGAGCTTTGCTGAGTCGCCTTAGTCTCTTCATTAAATCATTTGGAGGCGGACCACCAGCTGTGGATTGCCTTATCGTGGTGAAAGAACTTCTAGAGTCTATAGATTTCGCGGAATTTGGACCGAAACTGGACGCAGGCGAGCGATGATGGTGGCTTTCTGGGACGATGCTGGGCACGAAAGACGATTTTGGGGCTGCAATGACGGTGGATATTCCGGTCTTATGTGTTGGCGAGCGTCGGATCGGAGTTGCGCCTTGTAACGATGCCTGGGTCGGCGTACGTTGCACACTTCTTCGTTCGACTTCCAGATCTGATGACGAACAAGAGCTGGGAGAGATCATTGGCTTCGATGCAGCACCTCCCTCCGTGTCAAGATGGTTCATAGACGATATTCTGCGTAGCATTACTAGCGGTTCTGGTACCATTTTCAGTGGCAGAGTCGGCATGGGTGGAAGCAGTTCTTCGGTAGGAGTGTTCGCAGTCGACCGGGATAGCTCTGGAGTATCCTCTTCCACGGCATCTAGGGTAGCAAATAGAGGGACCTCCATACTGAAGCCACCGTCAAGGAACGGATTGTGGCTCTCACCCCAGGCACTATACATACTTGTAGGCGTACATGCTCTGCTCTTGGGCATGGATCTTTCTATCGGAGCATCTTCCTCATCCAAGATACTTTTGACACTGGCCATTTGCGCGACTCCCATGTTTGCAGGCACGACTGTGTTGATGTCGAGATCGATGGCATAGCGACTAACATTCATGCCAGACGCTGCCGCTGAATATATCGTCGGCAGCAGGGTTTCTTTTGGTGTATTTAGCGTAAGGTTCTCCGGATCTGGACTGGAGTCGGTCAATATATTCTTGAGATCATCTCTTGCACTCCTAAGAGATGCATTCATGCTACTTCGTGTGCTGATGTCAGCTTCACCGTAGACGCCGCTGTCATTGCTCGTAGTCGATGCTTGACGCGTCATATTGATTCGCCCAGCCGGTTCAGTCAGCATGAAGAATGATCGGTCCAGAATCTTCCTTCGAACATCGTTCCACCGTGAACGAGCGAGATTCTTCTCAAGCTCATGGCGATACGCAGTATGAGCTGACAGTAAAGAATCGAAATCTTGCAGACGCATAGCGATTTTGTCCAAGACAAGCTTTAATTGTATGTGATCCGTTGTATCCTTCACATGTTAGCATATAGATAAACAGCCAGAAGGACATTATCACTCATCGCTTACCTTATGCATCAATTCACCGTCAACGCTGTCCAACTCTTGGGTAACAACTACTCCCATACCTTGAGCTAACTCATCACGCATCTGTCGGACGGTTAACATGAGCACCTCGTCCATGGCCTTCCTCACTTGACAGTAGAGCGAGGCGACATTACTCTGCTACCCGTCAGTCACTTCTGGAAATAGGTCATCATAACCTACTGTGCTGTCAACTGTGCTTTGCATAATTATTTATTTGGCAGGAGTAGACTGTAGGTCTTGCAACATTGCTATATATTATAGAGAAAGAGCACAGTAATACATTTCTTCAACCCGAGATATGGTTGCCTTTGACAGAAACGTTAACGCTCCGACGTATAGCGTCACATCGTGTTCTCCCGACGCATCGACATGGGGTAAGGGGCTTGATCATGACACTTGGGCGGCCTCCCACATACTTGGAGGGTTAACAGGCGCCTCCGGACACTTTTGTAGATGTATGTACACAGTTACGTTACTGTTGTCGAAATTACGAAGTATCACATTTCGGTATGAAGAGTTGAGCAGTCAATGTCCAGGTTATCTCTTCATGTGCTTGAGTTAATAGGCAGATTAGTCCAACGAGACATTGATAAGATGTCGCAGATTCGGCTGAGACCAAATCGAGGTAACATTTGCTGACCAGCGTGTTGGGCGAGAGGGGAGTTGGCGGGCATGCTGCCCATTACAGCCTTGGGGCGTGAAACGCCGGGCCAAGATTCTTGACGGCGTCAAGTTTGTCGCAGGTTGGCCTACATTTATTGAATCATCGCAAGATTGCGCTGGCCGAGTACGCTTGTCTGGTATTATTTCTGCTAACGTATCGCTGCACACTGCACCGTTGGGAGGGTTCGTCTGATGGGGGTTATCCTTTGTTCCAGGAACTGCTCCTGTTTCATCATGTTCACGTAGACAAGCCATGTGATCTTACGGCCAAGCTTCTGTGCAGCAAAGGGTTGTCACGCTTCAGAAAAAGAACAACTGAGTCATAATGGAACAAGTCTCGTTCGTGGAGGAGGCAAGGAGGTTCAGCCATGAGAAAGTTCGGCCCGTGATAGACTCAACAAAAACGCGTCATCACGTGAGCTGCCACTATCTTTTCCTACCCAGTCCCACCTGCAACCATTTCGAGACACCTGCTATGGGACTTTCTACCTCAGTTGCGACCCAGCATAGACTTGGAGCGGGACAACATGAACATTCGACTTTACTGCTACGCTTAGACCTTTGCCAACGAAACGGACAAAACCAGGTGTCTTTCACAGGTTTCGGTACAATGTGACCTCCATGCAAACTGCCTTGCTGTTCGGATATCTCAATCTCACACCAACACATTGATTCAAACTTATCACATACGACCTGTGCATATGACCTATCCACGGTAACTCAACAGTTTCAGTCGCCAGTTCTTACGAGGCTTTGTTCAAGTCATTCTTACTCTCTGGCCCAGACTCAATCCCCAAATTCCAAGTTGTACAGTCTTTGCGATACAGTGAAAATTTCTTGATTAGGTAGAGATTGCTCTGTATGCTTACTTGTGTCTTGTCTCGTCATATGGACATAAGCAATGACAGTGGCTCGAGTCAGTCGTTTGGGTGGGTGTTGCTATCAAATACGTCAGTATCTGTGCATCAGACTTCGGTAGTCAGAAACTTTCGTCGCTAGTTGATAGCCCCCAACAAGACTAATTTCCAAGGCAAATATCGAGAGTCGCGGCTTCGGATTATCAAGCCAGCTGGCTGATTGTCACATGGCATGAGTGCATGTAAGCCCAATCCACTGCAAGAAAGTCTTAACAATCAACAGTAACGGCTTTAACAACAAGGGCCCACCCCAACTATATTTTGAGGCTGAACCTGACGATCGGCTTCCCAGAAGTTTCGGATCTTCAGTATTTTGGACCCATTGCTTGGTCAGCCGCTAGATCGCCATGGCTATTAGCCATCTTAGGATCGCGGAATTTACCGTGACGTATGTCAGGTACAAGTATTGCACGGTGCCTTGATGCACATTCGGAAAACCAGTCTCGGGGAGAACAATGTACTTCAGACCATCGCAGATTTCATTTACTTGGCTGGTCTTCGCAGTCTTCGCGGCTATTTGCCATGCCGTTGGGACACATCGATTGTCTCCAGAGGTCGACTTGGGCTATGCAACGTATCGGGGCGAGCATCTGCCCATCGGCGTAACCCAATTCCTAGGCATGCGTTATGCCGCACCACCACTGGGCGATCTACGATTTCGAGCACCACATGAACCCGTAGCAGAAGCCGGGGTGCAGGATGCGACGCAACACGGTGATATCTGCTACTCAATTGCGAGCGGCGGACCACCCGTGCCGTCGAGCGAAGACTGCCTTTTCGTCGATGTGTATGCTCCAGCGTCTGCGACCAGAAACTCCAAATTGCCGGTTATGGTTTGGCTCTCCGGAGGCGCATTTGTACGTACGTATAGTCATTGAAAGAGACTGTCAATTATGTCCTGCTGATGAAGATAGAACTTTTTAACCCTAACTACAATGGCACAGGCTTGATCAAAGCGAGCAACGATGGTGTTCTTGTGGTGACATTGAATTATCGCGTAGGACCATACGGCTTCCTGGCCAGTGAAGATGTTCGCGCCGACGGGGACCTCAATGTTGGGCTACTCGATCAGCAGAAAGCTCTTGAGTGGGTTACTGAACACATTGCAAGCTTTGGTGGAGATCCGGCTAAGGTGACGATTTTCGGTACATCGATATCCAGCGTGTTCCTCAATATGCTCGCTCATGGTGGCGACAATCGCGGGCTATTCCGAGCTGGTATCTCAGCGGCACCCTATATGCCTTCTGTGTACGAAGTGTCGGACCTCGAGTTTCAATATGAGCAGTTGCTCAATGCGACAGGTTGCGATTCTTTGACCTGTCTGCGATCTGTACCAAGTGAGAAGCTGCAAGCAGCTAATATCTACAGGCCATTTCCAAGTCAGACTCAAGCTCCGCTTTTCCCCTACATGCCAGTCGTCGATGGGAACTTGCTCCAAGGTCAGCCTTCAGCGCTCTTGAAAGCTGGTAAGATCGCAAAGGTTCCACTCCTTACAGGGACAAGTGGTACCGAAGGAACAATTTTCGCTCCTCAGGCCAATACAACAAGTGATATCAATGTGTTCCTCCGAGCTCAATACCCTCGACTGACGGATGAGGATCTCGCTGCGATCAACTGCCAGTATGAAGACATCCCTTATGGATTTACACCACCTGGAGTGAAAACGAAGGAAGCTCCGCTCTTCTACCGCGCAGCTGCCATTTATGGAGACGTAGCGTTTGAATGTCAGGCATATGAATATTCAAATGCCCTACAGCAGACCGATATCCCGGTATACACCTTTCTCGACGAGATCCGCGATCCTGTCGAAGTTGCAGCCGGATTCATTGTACCGTACACATGGGAGCTTCAAGGTGTCTGGGGACCTCAATATGCGACCAACTACGTCGCTCTTGAAGGCGCAGATGCGTACGAAGGCATCAACGCGAAAATGGTTTCGACATTGCAGGGGTATTGGACAAGCTTTGCCAAGACTGGAATGTCACCAAACACATATCGGGCCAAACATTCGCCGGAGTGGAGTAAATATGCGCAAGGGCGGGAGATGAGATTAAGAACAAATGAAACGCGAATGGAGGTGGTGAGTCAGAAGCAGCTGGAGCGCTGCCAGTTTTGGAAAGGATTAAGGGACAAGACGCAGTTGTAGGTTTGAACAGACGTTCGAAACATGTATGAAATGACCACGGCTAGTTCTTTATCAAGGTGTGTCGCTCGATGGATGATTATGCAATGTGATAAATAAATAAAAAATATAATCCGGAGTTCAACCACATAATTAGCTCGATGCTCCGTATCCCAGATTGGGCAGTATTCCTTTGGAGTGTCTCGCAGAAGTACTTCGCCTTCCATCAGACACGTCTGAAGCTATATCTTGACGCTTCACATCCGCATGTAGTGAGAGATAGCCCGATTAAGTCGTCACAGATGTCAGGTGCGCAGTGAAAATCTGCGGGGCACATTGCTAGCTCTGACTGATCCTGATCCAACAAGTTGATCAGCAGTCAAATGATGGGAAACTGCTAAGCCTCACTACGTAATTACGAGGAAGACGACATATCGACCTTGCGAACACAGGGATGTCCAAAATTCTGTGCCATCCACACTACTTGACAAGAGTGTTCGAAACTTTGAATGCGATGCCTCTATGTGATGTCTGCTGTAGGACTTCCTTTTTCGACCTTCCGGTCTTTCCTACATGGCTATGGCAACATCTTCCAGTTGAATCGTACCACCTTACCGTGTACAAGAACTTACCGAAGGCCAATCTCGAGCATCTAGAACTGGGATTAGAACACCACAAGTCGCTTGGGCTTCTGAGTCAGGCCGCTGAGACTTGCGATATCTGCCGTTTGATCGATTCAGAAGTGACACGTACGCTCGATACCTTACACCAGTTGAGCACGGGGGAACAAAAGAAGTATCTCGATCCAATTGGGGAGCCAGAAGGACAGTTGTGGATATGTCGACGGAAGGAAGGCGCTGCCGGGTTCATCGTCCTGTGCAAGGCGTCTAAGAGAGACGAGGTCTGGCAGGTAGCTGCGGGAGGGTACTGTGTTGATTATGGTATGTGATCATGTTCACTTATGCAATACAGTCTGACACTCTATGCAGATAGCCCACTCAAATTCCAGTTTCGAGGTCGTGTCGTCCACAATGATCCCACCACGACTCGTACACTGCTCCACATCCAGGACTGGCTATCTACCTTCGATAACCAAGTCGCGACCACAAGCCAGCTACCAGTGCGTGTAATAGACTGTAGTGATTCTTCATCTGACGTCATGACCGTAAGACTTCACGAAACCTCCGGTGAGAGGGCTCGATATGCTATTCTAAGTCATCGTTGGGACTCAGAATCAGAGATCTGGGACTCAGCGGTGTCACAGGACAAGTTACGAGCTGGTATCAGTCTTACTGAACTAGCTCAGTCTTACCAAGATGCAGTAACTGTTGTGCGCGGTCTTGGAATCCGCTATCTCTGGATTGATAGCCTTTGCGTTTCGAAAGATGACACTGGCTTCAATCGTGACTCTCTTACCATGTCGGATCTCTACAGTCGTGCATACTTGACCATAGCCGCTACGTCTAGTGAGCGTGATTCTGAAGGGTTCTTAGGACCCAGATCTGTCAGGCACTACGCGACTATCAAGTATCACGATGATGCGGACTCTGACGTATTCGTATTTCCTGTATCGCACGAACTGGCCGCCTCAGGTCAACATTACCTGAATATGCGAGGAGAGCCACTTTCGGATCGGGCATGGACTCTCCAAGAGCGATATCTGTCCCCGCGAACCATCCACTTTGGCTCCTCACAAATCTACTTCGAAGACAAGAAAACGTTCGCGACCGAAGATGGCTACGTGCATCCGATCCCTCTCAACTATATTGGTGACATAGATGACACAGAGGAAGTGCCAGTGGAGACCGCAAGATTGTTCAAGAGTTGGCGAGGTCCCTGGAGCTGGTGTTCCATCATCTCTACATATGGCAAGCTCAAGCTATCGGATCCCCTGGACAAACTACCAGCATTGGCCGGTATAGCACGCTCTCACGAGCCATACCGCAATCTTGGGCACAGCAATGGGCAGAACTATCTCGCAGGGCTATGGCGCGATAATTTCATCGAAGATTTGTGCTGGCAGTCTGTAGGGGGCAAATGTAAACGCTCACCGGTCTATCGTGCGCCTTCGTGGAGCTGGGCTGCCCTAGACGGCTATGTGTCAATCACAGCACTCGGAAAATACATTGACTTGGCTGTTGTGGAAGAAGTACAAGTTGAGAACGTCAACAACGATCCATATGGTGCTGTTACTGACGCTCGCATCAAACTTTGGGCTCCACTACTACGCTTAGAACGACCAGAACGAAAATCGGAATGGGAGAAGGAGTTACCGTCCTATGTCAATATTGTGTCCATCTCGGGCTATGAAGAGTCACGGTGGTCCTTCATTGCTGATGTACATGATGAAGCCGTGCCGGAGAAACTTGCTGGGGTTGATCTTGGTCTACTTCTCCTTGCCTACAAGAAAGCCGAAGGAAGTGAGGACTGTCGCTCTAATAGATGTGGTGCTGGCTCAACTGCGATGGGACTTGTCGTTCGGCACAGTGCAGGTGAAAAAGAGTACCAGAGGCTTGGCTGGACGGTCTTTAGAAACGACCAATTGATTGAAGATTTGACTGTTCGGAAAACAACCGGTTCGTTGTCAGTGGTCGTACTGGTCTAAATGAACACCGGCGTGTTTTGTTATCAAATTCAAAGACTCCTATCGATATGTAATATGCTTAAGTGTTATAGTTCACGTTTTCACTTATCCTCTATTGTCTATGACCCTAATCCACATCACCCAAACTCAAAGCATCCAACATATCACGAAGCTTGAGTCTCTGCATCAATCCGCCTTGTCTCGAACAAAGCAGCAATCCGGATTACATGCCCTATGTTCCAATATCTGGTAACCCGCCGCTCTTCAATGGCATAAACACCTTCTCCCACAACTCACTCCTCTCCCCCAGCGTATACGTCAAGTCGACATCTGCCAGACTCGCCTCATTTCCATCGGCATTGACCCCTGAATCCAACGTTTCCAATTGTGAGATGACATGCTCAAGCCCTAATGCCTTCCCCACTGACTGAGTAGCACCAGCATCAAAGGCTGCATGGACGATATGAACATGCAAATGATAGTATGTCGGCTGATAATGGAAATACAACTTGATTTGATCTGCATCAATGGCCGGATACAGCTTCGTTGTCGATGCAAGCAGCTTGTCACGCATGTGTTTAAGCCAGGGGACGTGCGATTTGCGCAGATCGCGGATCGACCAGATATCGCGGCGCTCGATGAGGCAGAGGAGGTGGAGGGATGTTAGAGTCTTACGATCCCAATTACTGTCTGTATTAGGATAATTCTCTCTGTCTATTGGTCGGTTTTTGGGAGGCGATGAAAACATACAGATCTGGAGCGAGTAGAAACCCTTCTTCGGTGCCGCTTTCGCGATACATCACATCCTCCTGTTCGGCCATGCCGTCGATGATGTTGAACACCCAGTTCAAACGACCCTCCTCACGCATGCGCTGTGCGTACGGTCGTACATACTTTGTATAGATCTCTGGTGTTTCGGTTACAACACGCACCTCCTGAGACGAGTACTTCTGCACGTGTTTTGGAGTACAGGGGTAGATCAGGTTGATCTTGAGATCTTGGGGCTGCTGCGATGATGTATCTGGTGAAGCGGACGCGCTGCTAGCCATAAACCAGTTATAAATATCATTAGCGCCGAGATTTTGAATCCGGCTCAGACTAGACGAGAGGTTTCGGAGGTGAGCATCTTCCACAGAAAATGCAGCGCGTTCGACAATGAGTAGAGCTGGTTCTGAGTTGATCTTGCCGAGAAGAGATATACGACGGCCTCCCTGATCTAGACCCAGGTCAGTCTCTGGACAAGGGTATGACTGTATCTATTGCACCTTGATTGAGGAGACGCTCGAAGACGAATTGTGGAATAAGGGCTTCTGCTTTCGCAGGGGCTGATTCTTTCATTCTTGCTTTTTCCTTGCTCTTGACAGTCTTGCCCGGAGGATAGTTGCCGGATGGAAGAGCTGTCGAAACAAGATGATGTATCTAATGATCTCCGATATCTCTCACTCAAGCACACACAAGCAAGAAAGGCTACTTTAGGAAGTTTGTTATTATTCGTTCTTAACTGACCACTTGGCCATTTGCCCCCAACCGCGGGGTCGTTCTCAATTTAACGCGGAACCAAACATTACGTCACACTGTCCACTTGAAGGCGCATTTTTCAGCCCTGCATTAAACTTACGAACAGCTCTGAGTCTTCTTGAAATTCATCCTCTACGAATTCAACGTCCCAAAATCCACGCTTCAAATCTACCAGCATGTCCACAATAGACGACCCCGACGTCCCACGGACAAACAAACGCTTCGTCCCTCTAGGTACATTCACCCAAGCACCCCCCGCCCCCCCGCAAAACCCTCCATGGCAACACGCTGACTCCAGGCCCCCACAGAAAACAACCCGGAAGTGATGACCAACCTGATGACCACTCTCGGCCTCTCCCGCAACCTCGCCTTCCACGAAGTATGGTCCATCGACGAGCCGTCCCTCCTCGAATTTATCCCACGCCCGGCGCACGCCCTCCTGCTCGTCTTCCCAGTCACGCAAGCATACGAAGCGCATCGCATGTCCGAGGACTCGTCCGCACAAGACTACTCCGGTAGTGGCGATGCGGAGCCCGTGGTGTGGTATAAGCAAACCATCGGGAACGCATGTGGATTGATCGGACTGTTGCACGCGGTGTCTAATGGAGAGGCGCGAGAGAATATTGTGCCGGAGTCCAATTTGGCGAAGTTGCTGGCTGAGGCTGTGCCGAGGGGGCCGTTAGAGCGTGCACAGTTGTTGTATGAGAGTAAGGAGCTAGAGGCTGCACATGCTAGTGCTGCGTCGACAGGGGATACTGCTGCGCCGTCTGCGGACGACACTATTGATCTGCACTTTGTGTGTTTCGTGAAGGCGGCGGACGGGCACCTATGGGAGATGGATGGGCGGCGGAAAGGACCTCTTGACAGGGGCGATATCGGAACCGGTGATGTATTGAGCGAGAAGGCGTTGCAATTGGGACCAAGGGCGTTCATTGAAAGGGAGAAAGAGAGTGGCAATGAGAATTTTAGCTTAATCGCGTTATGTAAGTCGTTGGACTAAAGAATATTTCGGAGAAGACAAATAATTACCATTGATGAATGGCAAGCGAGTCGAATATGTTATAGGTCAGGTGTGCAGGAAAAGTATGCACATACGCATTTCATCGAATAGGAATTCGCCAACCCGCCGAGTGCCCTATGGCTATGCTTCGAGAGCAAAGGATCTGACGCCATAATTGCACAACCCAATAAAACACCCTGACTCCAACCGGTTCCTTTGACTTGATATTGCTCTTTCCTCACGTCTCTGCCACAGGCTACTGCACAAACCGTGTGCCCATCAACTCATCCACATACGCCCTTTCTCTCGTTCCCTCCTCCTTCAGCAATACAGCCAAAACCTCAACCGGCGGCTCCAAGCCAAGCTTCTTCGCTCTTTTCCAGCGCTTTATGCGTGCTATACCAACACAAGGCTATGAACTTGTCAGTAAGGAGTCCTCACCTATCTCCCATCTATTCCATATGATAGATTCAAGGAAGAGAGGGGCCAATCAAGAAAAAAGCTCACCCCAAACTTCGCCGCAATATCAAACTCTCTCAACACCTTCTCCTCCGTGCTCAAACCACCTTGATGCACCCTCTTCGCAATCCTCTCGCGCTCCTTCGCCGCCCAATACTTCCGGATCCGCGCATCGCTAATCTTCAATGCCTCGGTCTCGTTCTCGTCTCTGTGTGCGGTCTCCGTCTCTGCCTTCACTGCCGGCGCAACAAACGCCTCGTGTTCTTCTTCGTATTCTACATTTACGTTTTCTTCTTCGTTTGTCTTCTGTTTGGGAACCTCCTCTGCTTTGGCCGGTGTTGCAACGTCGATCTGTGCGCTCGCAGGCTCGTCTGCGGGCGTCGGCGAGATGGAGCGCTTCGCAGGCGCACTGGCCTTGAAGTATTTCGATTTTGTAGCTGTTTGGGCGGCGCCGGATTTTGTGATGCGTGCGCCTTGAGCACCGTGGAATGCGAGGGTGGATTGGGCTGTGCTGCTGGTGGTGGTGGTGCGTTTGCTGGGGCGTTTGGGAGGCATTATGGGAGTCGTCTTAGAGGGGTGTATACTTGTATTGTCGATAAGTTAATTGTGTAAATTAGGCCGATGTGGAGCTGATTGTCATTTGAGTAATTATGTCGTGTGTGATATCTAGAGACGTTAAGGATCGGTTGTAGAAGGGGTTCTATGCACTGTGGAACCTCTGAGCTTGTCAGTCAGGGTGAACCGTGCGCGATGATGAAATGAGATGCACTAGGCATGCCCGGGCAACGCGCGAGCACGTGGCTTTGATTGGTCGAGATCACGTGCTCTGCATAATGATAAAAACATTCAGTGTTTCCATGTTCAATGATGCTTAGTGTTGTGTGAATGATGCAGGAATGTATAGCATGTATAGTTCTTGCCAATAAGGCACCCCTTCCGGTGGAGACAAGCCCATAAAGCTGATACAAATACAAGAGCCGACGCTTTCGAATACCCACTTCAAATAGCACCTGCAATTTCTCTCCTTCAGATAGTGCTCCAGGCATATATGTGTAGTAACGCAGCCCCGAAAGTACAATTTGAACCGAAGAAAAATGTTGACAGCAGAGCGACAGGACCTCGTTGAATGCAAAGCCCCGTTTGAGTCCCGCACGTTAGATCATAACAAACTCATAAACTCGAATATTTCCCAATCAGTGTCCAAACTTCGAACACTGTCCATCAAATGTGATTTCTGATGATCGCCTGAACGCCGAACCACACCATTTGACCGCACACAGCCGGTCATTGAAAGCGTTCCAATCATACTCAATCGTAAATATCATCAAGCAAGGAGGGATCCTCTAGCCGGAAAGGATGTCCACATGCTTTATATGCTTGGAAACCGATACTAATAATTACTACTGCCTCGAATACGGCTTGTTCATAAGGGCAATTTCGCGACAGACAGTCGCCCATTCGAGCTCGCGCTTCAGGGGCGCACCGCACTTCAAGCGCTGGTACTCTTCCCACTTGAGCAACTCGTAGGTGAATCGCAAATGCGGTTGAATGATAACATTCAAGCGTCGTGCACGGACGAAACAGCTGTCGTGATGAGTATGCGTTTGCTAATTCTTGGAAAGGGTACGTACTATGCACGAGGAAATGAAAGGCCCAGCTCACTCATGACCTCCGCGATACATATGGTCGCAGACCTGGATACACCAACGCGACAGTGTACAAGTGTCGCACTCCCGTCTTGCTTCCCGCGTTCTATTATTCGTCAGTTCGTACATCCAGAACGGTCTGCCGACCGACGCACCAATGAATCGCAAACACTTGTCGAATTCTTCCGTCAACGGATCAACACCATTATCTTGTACTCTGTCGATGTACAACAGGTTCTCCGTGGGCCATGAATTTTCCTCTCTCGCCCAGTTAATGGGTTCTCCCACACTAAGAATGCGTTTGATGCCGAGCTCTTTCAGCATGTCTGGATTGTTGGCGTGTCCGAGATTACCCAGGTACATGTATGGTAGGATACGACTAGGTAGACTACCGTCGATACGTGCTAGCCACTTGGGGTCTTGGATGGATGTGATTTCGCCCTTCCATCGTGGAGATTCTGAGAGAATTCGAGGCTGAATGGCTTTCAGCAACGCAACATCTGTCGGATACGCAAAGAAGTTCCGGCCTTTCTCAACGTGGAGCTTGATCCACGCCTCATGGACTGTGAGGCCCTCGGCATACATGAAATATGCTAGACCCAACAGTGACGATTCGGTGTACCCATCTGCGCAGTGAATCAAGACCTTGCGCTTGAGATTGAGTCGCGACATCATAATATTATCGCCATCTTCATCTTTCGAGTCGTTTATAAACTCGTCTTGCTCATGAACAAATTCATATATCCACTTGCACATCTCCATTAGCCCATCAACCTCCATGTGCGACCAAGTTGGGGGAAGAATGCTTCCGGACGAAAGAAAGTCAAGATGAAGAGGCCATTGGCCTTGATCTTGTGACGACTTTAGCGCAGCGTTGAGTGTACTAGTTTCCGAAACATGGGCCAGATCGCTTGCCTCAATGAGAACATCATAGTCAGATTCACCAGGGGAGCACTCTAGCATTTGGTCCGGTGTTGGTCCAAGGTACACTCCTTTGCTGATCTCGGATGCTTTTGACATTACACACATCTCAAAACGTTCACGGTGGACTTCATCCGTTAGTTTGGAAATGTACAGAGAGTTCCGTGTAGCTTACAAAAGTCGATTGTCTGTCCCGTCGTCTTGCCCTTCGAATCTATTGCAACGACTGAGCCATAATTCGCCTCAAAGATGTCGTAGCTGTCTGTGGAATAAGGTCAGATACTATGATATTAGACACCCATAGTCACACTTACCAGTCACTGCGAACGTATTGAACACTTGAGGTTCAGCTCCCGCAGCAACATGTCGCTCCCGCCAGGCTATCTGCGCCAATGAGATCTGCTTTGCGAGATTTATGACCTGCCGAGACGGAGTGATGGAATCGCCGTAAACAATGATATCCGAAACCGCGGCCATCTTAGCTATCTGTATTTGGAAGTTTCTCACCGAAAAGCCGTCCTTGGGGTCGCATTCGATGAATGACGCTTGGCTATCGTACAAGTTATGCGAGACTAGCAGCTCTTCCGGGGCGATTGCGCCCTTCAACTTTGAATGATTCAGGTCACCACCGGCCTTCACAATGGTTATTCCACGGATGCATTTTGGTGTCCTCCTCAGTGCCTTTTTCCTTTGGACAAAGAAGGCCAGTTGCATCTGGTTTTCGGCATGTAGACCATGCAACCATGGAAACACTTGTTTGGTATCTGGTAATGGCTGTGATGAGAACTGTTCCACAGCTTCGACCACTTTCTTTGCATCGATTGAGTATATGGGAGGCTCCTTGAAGATGTGAGTGAAGTTATCGGGAGGATACAGTACTGAAGAAGATTCAATGATGGCATTCTTGGTTGGCGGAGAGGCTGGGGGAGTCTCCAGACCTCTCCTAGGAGTGGGCCCCGGCGAGCAGAACGGTAAGTGTTTGTTGGGTACAGGCGCGGGAGTTCCTCTCGTAGAGGTATTGAGCGTGAGATGCGGCGGAGGCGTTGCGGTGCGTGAGGGTAGCGCTGGACTTCGAGCTACAATAGCAGCCATGATTTTAGGCTGTTGAGATTCGTGTGCGAGGTTTACTCAAGGCTCGAGTCTATCTGGTACAGGAGTAGGCACAATTTTTCGCTTGGAGGGTCTGTTTTCGTGGAATGTAAGGTGAACTGTCGGAGCTGTTGAAGCCAACGAAGGTACCTACAAAGCAACCCAGGCAGGGATGTCTTAAGGCATTTGTGTTGAATCTTAAACGCAAAGACTGGCGTTGGTAGCTGGATATATCCTGAGAGCAACAATAGAAAGGCGCATGGGTAGTGGACGATGGTCAATATTTTGACACAAGTCGTGCTATGCTGGCACGGTGTGGAGATAGAGTCGTGGTGACAGGGAGGTGGTGAGAGGTCGAGATTTCAATTGCGATGAGTTGTACTCTTACAAGACAAAGCAGCAGAAAAGGAGGAATCAACGAGTGACACGGGCGAAAAGTGGTGGATGGAGTGAATCGTATACATAGATACCACACGGCGGGGCATGCGGAGAGCGCTAGATCTAAACAGGTTTAACTAATTATAGCTGCATGGATTCTTGTCCGACCGTGCACTCCACTAGATTTCTGCCAGCTGCAACCAGAAGACTCTGAAAACACGTTATCCTAAGGCAGGATCTCTTAAGGACATAGCGACGTCCATTACACGAGTGTATGTGATCTCTGCACACAACGACAGAGAAGGCAATGCCGACTGAAGTAACGTGCAACAGGTGAAGCAGGCAGCCGACAGCACAGCAGCCAGCACAGCATTCGGCTGGCAAGTTGCACAAGTTGCAGGCGTCTTAGCGCCCGGGGCGGCCTGGGCTGGGCTACCAGGGTTAACATGATTAACAGATAGCGGTATGGTGTTCGTGCGAGGGGGGCGAGTGGAGGGTGTAGCGTGCCAATCCCGTCATTTGTTTGTTCGCCTGTCGCTCTTATCTGGGCTCTAGCCAGTGAGCCAGCCAGCCAGTCAGCCAGCCAACAGAGCCAGCGAGCCAACAAACACATGTTCCTTATCAGCGATCGAATTTCTCAGCAGCCGCATCTAGCATGATTTCTGACTTCAGCGGTATTCGATGTCGCGCGTTCCTGCAGCCACTTGTTGGTGTCGTGATCGGATCGATTGACTCTGAGAAGATCATCATCGTTAGCAGCAGTATTATCGCGTGTCTCACACCCTCAGTGCTATTATGTTGTGCATTTGCTGTTGCTGTTGCTGTCACTGTGAGGCCCACCTATTCACGACGATCGACTGATTGTCAGTGCTACCCCGCAGTCCCACAGCCAGGACCAGGGAGGGAGTGGGCTGGGATTCTCGGCCGCCACGTCTGCTTGCTCTCCCCACTATCAGCGCTAGCGCGAACACTTCACAGCTGTGGCGCTGATTTTCGTTATTATTAAGTACGGTTACCCTCTGGCCCATCATCTCCACTATGCTCTGTCGTCTCCTCCACAATGTTGTGACATATGAGGTTATAGTTCCTTCATCGGGGCTGTGTTTAAACTCCAGAGTGAGATGACCACGCGGACTTTGCCTGTTCAAGATCTCGGAGTAACCTCCGATGCTTACTGCTGCAGCTGGGGAAGAGGAGGGGTACAGGTGTCATTACTGGTGTGACGTGTTGCCGATTCTGACAATCCGCAGCACGACCGTGGAACGCAGTACCATCGTGTGATCAGAAAGATAGTTTCTGAGTTTCTAGCTGTCAATGCTGATCCTCCTCGGCCTCGACACACTCTTCGCCCCCAGCATGAGATCGCAACTCAGCCGCCAACCGCTGAAGATAGAATCGTCGAATGTCCCTGGGTATCCCATCGAACGATCGTACCAACTTTTCGACATCTCTTCGTCCTTGTTCGTACGATTGTAGGTCTCGATTGCCGTACACGTCTTTGCCCATCGCATAGCCCGTCTCCAGGTTTCTGAAGAAACAATTCACTGCGACACTGTTTCCTGCTGTTGGCATGGCTCCATGCATCCACATTGGAGGTATGTATAAGATGTCGCCAGGTTGTAACTTTGCATCGACAGGACATGTATGAGGAATTATTTCAGTACCAAATACATCGATATTTGAACTTGATGACCCCGGTCCAAAACCAAGAAGATCAACATCGCCTGGCGGATACAGCCTTATGGTCTTTGTCCCACGAACCTGGCATAGAACGTTTGCTAGTACATCATAATGGAGCCAGAGCCTGACAGGGCCAGATATCCTCAGTGGCGAGCTATGCAATGCATCCTTGACTCGCTGCAATGCACCTGGAAGCTGGAAGTCTGCGGCAAGACCTGGGAAGTCCAGGTCGAGCTTCGTCGGTTGTTTGAAGGGCTGCTTATTTGAGACTGAACGGAGGTATAGTTTCTCGCCTGATTGAATGGCCTTGATAAAGTCGCCAAAGGCCTGTTTGACGTATGAAAAGTTCTTCTGTGAGAAAGTCATGCGATTGTTTGGGCATGAATGGACTATGATCTCTGTTTCGGCACCAATATGCTCAACCAAGTACTCGTGCGTCCATAATTCGGTACAAGAGCCTACATCAGACCCACGGATGATGACGGGTTTTGCATTGGTAACGATCATATCAAAATCTTCCTTGGTGTTGACCTTGATCTCCTCAACCTGAGGGATGCCACCATAGACCTTCTGCGCATCGTATACATGCGGTGAACGCAATATATTCTTGCGTCCTAGTGTACCAAAATCTTCTACTAATGAGTAGCTTGTTCGATTATGGAAGCTACCAAAAGAGAAGCATACGGCACCCCCGCCGCAGATGAGAACTTCGTACATATGAGCGATATCGTATTCTTCGTGAACGCCTTCAATTTCTGAGATTTGTATATCTTGATCGTCAGAAACTTTTGTTGCTGCACATCCAATGAGAAGTGGTCGAGGATTCCTGATGGACGTAGCCGGGAGACGTTGGTAGCACCCTTTTGTTAGGACTCTGCAGGCCGAAGGGTGAACGGCATCTTCTATTAGTCTTTCGACGAAATTAAGCCAAACAATTTCCTCAGACGCGGGTATAACGCCATTGTGGCTAATACCCCCAACAAGCATAAAGCTGTAGCTGGCAGATGATACAGGAGAGTGCTGACTGGAACCAGGGACGGCAATGAGGTTTGCGCCGAATCGACTATAATTAGCCCCTTCTATGGCTTGGGCGATGCTAACAGAAATTGGCCTACAAGACACCTGCGGGCCCTGTTCCGTAAGATTAAATTGCCATTCCCACATGTCTGTCAGGACTATTCCATTCTTGTCCATGCCCCCAAAGAGAATTCCTCTATCACCTCCAGGTCTCCGGCACATGACACCGCCAAATCGGGCAGGAGGGACGTGGTCCTTTTCACGCAATGTGATTTTTACCCATCCCGCAAGCTTCGACCAGTACCTCCATTCACTGAGTACTTCTCCTGCTGCAGTCTTCCCACCTGTCGTTAGGATTCCGGTAGAAGTAGGAACGACACAGTGTCTGAAGCGGCCAGGCTGCAATGTACCACACAGCGACCATTGGTTATCCTCAAATTGATAACAGTCTTCGAACACGGTCTTGGGGGAAGATCTTCCACCAGCCATGAGCAAGGTCCCGTTCGATTTGTTCCCAAGCTTTGTGATAGTGTGGCTCACACGAGACTCAGGCATGTTGCTTTGTCTCTCGGTCAAAGTCCACCGGATAGGCGTATCTGTTCCTGGTACTTCCAGGCCCCTGGACCAGACGTCTTCGGATGTTAGTCGACCATGTGCACCAAGGCCACCGGAACAAACGACCTCGTTCTGGCTCCTCACACACGCCGCAAACCGACGGACACCTGCATTCGTTCCATACTTCGCTTTATCGGTAAACTCGATTGGAGAGAAAGATAAAGCCTTTCGTGGCTCTTCCACCGCATCCGTGGCAGAAATCTTGGGCGTCCCGGTTTCGTCTGAGCATTCCAATTTCGTACGCAAGGGTCCATTTGACGCGATCAGCAGGAAGTAGTGGCCTGCAAAAAGAGCAAACTCTTCCCACTCATCAAAAGGTTCCGCAATGTCGAGTGAATGCCGTTGGTGTGTCTTTACTATCTGAAGGTTGTTCCACAAAGTCCAGAGACTTTGTACCTGCACACTAGGCCAGCCGAGTCTTCCAAATCTTTCCCGGTGGTCTTCAAGTCTTGGATATCGCGGTATGGCCTGTAGCGGAGTGCCGAGCTTGTTAAAATGCGCAAGCATTGTAGCTGCGAAGGGGTGACTAGACCCATCCGGAAGGTACTGCTCTAACATGCAGAACTGTGCTATACACTGTTAGCTCCATATGCAAGCATATCAGACAGTCTATACCATGCTCAATGGTATTCGCCCATCTAATCAACGCATCTGCATCATCAACTCGCATATACGTCATCGAGACTTCTGCAATGAAGAGAATGCTTGTTCCACGCAGATTGAGAATTTCCAAAAGCAATTTCTCGAATTGCTTCAGTTCCCGGAGGTCACAGCCAACGAGAGCATACTTTTCGCCGCAGGTGAGAACCGTGTTACTCTCAGGGCCCACGCTGGACAGAGCTGGTACTTCCTGTTGAAGTAAGGGGCTACGAGAAATGAACGACTCTTTTTTCCGAATAAGATCCGGGTAGTCAACATCAACAAAAAGCGTTCCCTCACACCTCGTAGGGTATCTATGCCAGAATTGCCATGGTAATGGATCGCTGTTGTGTGTAAGACTAGTCCACGAAATATACAAGCACCTTACTATCCACAGCCAAGATTCACGACCGCCTTGGGACTTCCTTGATTCTCATCAAGGAATTGTAATACAGTATGTTCCACAGCTTGCATACGTAGCCAGTAGCCACGGTTTATTAGGGGATGTCTCCTTTGAAACCTTGCAGTCACGGGTTCGTAGAAGTCGGGCTCATCAGGGTAGTACAGCTTAGAAACGCTCCTCTTTGATACAATACTACTATCATTTGTCTAGGCCAGTCAGCCCATGCTGGTCATGAGGAGGTCCATAGACTTACTTACACCCATAATACTGTCGTCCTCCTGTTGCTTGATCCTTCTCAAACGTGCAGCCTTTGCTATTCTGCGTTTCTCTGCCGAGGCGCCAGCTGGTGTTTCCACGCATGGTGCTGCCATACCACTTTGATCAAGACTGGGCATCTCGAATGAAACAATGCTGGCTAGAAAGAGTCACAATAGCATCTCTACTAATTAAGGTGTCGAAGATTTTCGATGACGTGCCGAAGTTCTGCCAGCCAGCCCACCCAGCCCCGCTGGTAGAGCACGGATCATGCAGGCCCACGCAGAGCTCATGCAGGGCAGACTGCGAATGATGTCTTCACCAGCCACTTCAAAGCTGCCTATCCAGGCAAAATACACATCGTGAACATACAACTCTATGGTCTGCTTGACGTCTGTCGCCCTACGGTGACTTTTCTATAATTACATACCAACGCGCATCTGCCTACACTGCCTCAGAACCTGTCTATCCAACCAAGCTTATCCGACTGCGGAAGTACTCGTGTTTGCAATGAACTTCGTCACGTTCAACCAGGACCGTACACTTCTTGGTGTTGGTAAGTTGGCTGACTCCCAGCTTACAGCACTCTCTAACTCCACAACCAAGGTACTACCAAGGGTTTCAGGCTCTACTCTACCGAACCTTTCTCAAAATGCTTCGAAACTGAGGAGGGTGATATTGCCCTCCTCGAGATGCTATTCTCCACTTCACTTGTTGCGATAAGCCTGTCACCGCGACTTCTCCGAATACAGAATACAAAGGTAGCTGGCGTTTGTCGTGGAATACTGCCGCCAGTGAGGCTAATTCCATACAGAGACATTCTACGATATGCGAGCTCACGTTTCCTTCGAGGATTTTGGCCGTCAGAATGAATAGGAAACGCCTGGTGGTTGTGATGGAAGGAACAATACACCTATACGATATCAGTAATATGACCCATCTCGGCGCATTAGACACCTCGCCCAATCCAAATGGTATGCATATCTCTGCGCGCTTTTAGAGGCCCGGCTCACAGCGCTACAGCTATCTGCGCGTTATCTCCTTCCTCCGACAACAACTATCTCGTTTATCCCTTGCCACAGAAAGCCTCCTCCTCCGCCTATACACCACCATCACATGCTCCTCCGAGTCAAGGGCACGTAACACCATCCTCTGGAGAGGTTCTGATATATGACGCAACAAGGAAAGAGGCAGTCAATGTTATCCAAGCCCACCAGACACCATTATCCTGCGTGGCTTTGAATAACGAGGGATCGCTTCTGGCAACGGCATCAGAAAAGGGCACGATCATAAGAGTTTTTTCTGTACCGGATGCCCAAAAACTGTTCCAGTTCCGGCGTGGTTCGATGCCTTCCACAATCCAGAGCATGTCTCTCAACTCAACGTCCACATTATTGTGTGTGTCGTCGGCAAGCGATACTGTTCATATATTCCGCTTGTCAGCTGCTGCTCGACACACACGAGGAAGCAGTATCACCTCGATATCAGATCTTACCAAGTCTTCGGTAGATGGGCGTAGCTCAAGCCCTAGCAGCGAAGAGACAAGGTACAACTCATTAATGGACGCCAGTGGGGTGGACACGACACACGATCGAAAAGCCTTGAATCCGACATTTGCGAGCATGATCCGACGGACATCTCAAAATGTTGGAAAAACTTTCGCAGCCACTGTAGGTGGTTACCTACCAAGTGCTGTAGCAGAGATCTGGGAGCCGTCGCGAGACTTTGCCTGGGTGAAAATCCCCAGATCACAAAACCCATCCAACACCGGGCCGGTACGCTCTGTAGTTGCATTGAGCAACAACGGTCCACAAGTCATGGTCGTTACGAGCGAGGGCAACTACTATGTCTTCAATATCGACCTTGAGAAAGGCGGCGAGGGAACGCTGGTAAAAAGTCATTCGTGAGTCGTGCCTGGCGTCCAATCATATTACCACTGACGTGTATCATAGCATTATTGGCAGTAGCGACATCCTCGGACGGTCCATGTTAGATGATTGATTTAATTAATATACCCCTTAAGAGACTCCAGGCGCCATATTGAACGCGTTGACAATCGCTTGCAAGGCTTTTGAGCAGACATTGACTCTTATGAACTGCCGTTACATAGCATTATCCGGCGTTATTGTTTGGTTTACTATGCAGTATGTGAGACCATTCCAGTTACCCAGGGTATGCGACCTCGATTGATTTGTGTGTATGAGGTGGACCGCATGACTACATAGCTTGTTAGAGATATCGATATTAATAACGTTACTGTTCGATTAAACCACATCCGAAGGGAGATGGATAGACAAGGCGCATTTCACACAAACACTATCTTCGCCTTGAATGCAGCTATATTCGAGGCTGAGGCGCGGCTTAGCTCCGGGCATCAAGCTCCCCACATTTGTGTCCCACCCGCGGCCCGACGTCACCACTGTCTGCCTTGAGCTGAAGCTACGGATATCTCATGAAGCAGCAGGCTCTTTTTCCTCCGCACCCAAGTCCATATTCGGATTCATTGCAACTACGCCATTCGAACCATGGTCCTGCCCAATACGGCGGGCAATCCGCTCAGTGCCGGCTCGCTCGCAGCCTTCATGGCCGCGAGTTTGCCGTCAGATGCATCGCCACAGCTCCGCAATGGACATGAAGCAGTCGCACTTGCAGTCAACGCATGCATGATAGCCGTTGGATTTCGGCTGGTAGCCCTGGGCAAAGACCAGAAGCTTGGTAAGTCCTATAGCTCGGACAGTATATCCCAATGAAGACTAAGGACGATTGGGACAGAGAACGAGATCAGCTCCGACAACGCCGACACACAACGACTGCCGAAGACGTGGAATACGAGGATACGGAGCGACGGAACAGAAGAGGGCCCACGGGAATCATATGCTTTCACATACGCACACGCCCAATCGGCCATGAGATTTGAGATCCAAGTCAACCAATTCAGAAACAAAGCCATGATCCACGGCGAAGGTGTAGGCGACGACCGCACCGCGTCCTGCGAGGTCATAATCAAGGACTTCCTCTCCGAATCAAGCCTGCCAAGCACACCCTCCGACACCGCAGACCCGCGCAAAACAATCACGGACGTCTTCATCTCGTCCGGCCGTCTGATGGACCTCAGCGCCCTCTTCAAAGTCGCCGTCATCCAGAAACTCGCACCGGGAATCACAAAGCCGGGGTACTCGGAAGAGCAGCAACCCACAGCGTCCACATCCACAACAACAACAACGGCACCATCAGCACAAGACCAGCGCCGCGACGCTCCAGCCCGCCACGACCGGCAGCCCCTCCGCGACACATACCTACCACAGCCGGCACGCCCTCACCCCTTCGACGACCCCCTCGCCATGCCTCCGCGCGGCACATCCCGTCCCCTCCCCGAACCCATCCCCGGCTTCGACGACGAGCACGAAATCCTCCGCGGCCCAGGACGCCTCCCGCAACCGGGTGGTGGTGGTGCTCGCGCACCCTTCAGCATCGGACACGACGATCTCTATCCGCCGGGCTTAGGTCCGAACGATCCAATACGGCCTGGCTTCGGCGGTGGACTGCCGCGGCCAGGGGGCATGGGCGGAGGCATGCATCCGACCTTTGACGATCCCTTGTTTGGCGGCGGCGGCGGTGCGGGAGGAGGGTTAGGCGGGTATGACCCCAGTGCGCCGCCTGGGGCGAGATATGATCCTGTAGGACCTGGGGGTGCGCCAAGGGATAGGATGATGGGAGGTGGTGGGAGGTTTCCTGGTGGGGGCGGTGGCATGGGTGGACGGCCGCCGAATCCGTTTGGGGGCTTTGGCGATGGTGATTTCATCTGATGAGCGGGTTGGGGTAGATGGGGTTCTTATAGCTTGTGTACGCGTGTGTGTATGCGTTCGTATATCTGCATTGTTCGTGAAAGGTAGATGTACCTGAGGTAGAAAGAAAGGCTGCATAGCAGAGGCATAGGGAGAGAGAGAGAGAGAGAAAGAAGTCACCGAAGCTGTATGGATAAATGAATATAAACCATTTTGCATCATCACCTACCTACCTACCTACCTAGATCCAAACCATATATATATATATATCAATCCATCCATCCATCAAACCGTCATACCTAAATAACTCCCATCCCAAGGAACTCCACCGAAAATTAACGCCCTATCGCTCACTCATTCATTCATTCATCCCTCATACAACACGACCAAAAAAACCAAGACAAGCAGAAAGAAAGGAAAGAAAGAAAGACGGAAAAGTACCCCCATAACCCCCAAGTATAATAAAAACGTAATCTCACATATATATACATACATCTGTCCTTTCTTCAAGTTTTCGACTTGTTATATCGGCAATTGATTTTCTTACAAGCTGTTCTACCTTCCCTTCCCTTCCCTTCCCTTCCCTCCCCTTCCCTTCCCTTCCTCCCAGGAATCCTAGCAACAAACACACGATATCTAGCTAGCCACCTACCTACCTACCTACCTACCTACCTACCTAGCAGATACATGATGAAACCGACAGAGCAGTCCAGTAAGCAAGCACAGAATGCAATGCAATGTAATGTAATGTCAATCCCGCTGTCTGCCTGCCTGCCTGCCTGCCTGCCTGCCTGCCTGCCTGCCTGCCTGCCTGCTTCTGCCTTGCCTTCTGCCCCACCCGGTCGGTCGGTCGGTCGGTTGGTCGATCGGTCCGTTCTGCGCTCGCCGCCGAGTCTAGGTAGTGTAGTGTAGCTAATGGTTGGTTATGGTGGTGGTAATAGGTAAGAGAGCAGTCGTAGTCCGTCGGAAGCTTAAAAGCAGCCGAAACGCCGGCAGGCATATTTATCTCCGTTTTTTTTTCTTAGCCTTTGAGCCCCATTGGAAAGGCACAAAGCATGAAAACGCTATTCAGGAACTAGAGGAGGCTAGCTGCAGGAAAGGCTCGAGCTTCGAGGGGCGATATGGTGAAAGTGGTGTGGTGTTTGTTAATTTGGGGGTCAGATTAGTAGGTGTGTGATTTCACACGGTGCGCGACGAGGATGTCCTGTCGCGCGAAAAAAAAAACATGGAACATAGGGTCAGGCAAAGCAACGAAGCGCATAGGATGGATACTTCGCAGGGATGAGGGAGTGGTTAGATAATGGGTGGTGTATCTGTTAATTACACAGCGACTGCTGAGGAGAGAGATGAGATAGATAGAGAAGAGAGAGAGAGAGAACATCAATGTGTCCAACAAACAGTGCTGGAGGGCCTGCCCACAAGGTGGGAAGCGCTAACTGACAGATCTTAGCAGAGTGCCGATCTACTAAGCACCGGGTTGATCCATTAGAGCCTCACATTGGACGCGATTGCGAAGATGGCTAGACAGAATCAGCCTGCTCTAATACACCTGGTTATGACAGGTTTCCTTGAGAAAGAGGCAAGTAGTGAGAACAGCTTCCTGGGTCGCGGGATCGCGGGATCGCGGGATCATACGAGCGGGCCAGAACCGTACATTTCCGGTCCAGGACCATCCCTCACGAATTCATCTGCACGCGACGTGTGATGCGAGGCGAGAAGAACGTGCTGTAAAGCAGCATGCAGCTCTGAACCTGCGAGGTCCAGACGCATCGGACAGGCAGGCGAGGCGATGCGTCCAGGATGTGTCAATAAGTGATTAGAGAGGGTTCAAGTCTCAGATCGTGGCTGCGTTCAAGGCCTCGGGATCGTATACGGCGCAGTGTGTTGTACGCAATGCGGCTCTCCGAGGCGGGAATGGAACGTGCCACGAGACTACGGCGTAGAAGCTTCATTGAACGACACGATAAAGATGGCTGTATCACAAGTTGCATCTCGTGTCGGGCGATGTCTAGTAAGAAGGCTCAAACGGAGCATTTTAATAATTTCGGTTTGGCGGTATCAGCCTGTGTCGCTTCGCTTACCCATAGTGTTTGCTGCAGACGCAACCGAACTACGACCATGCCAGGTATGGGCAGGACACAGCAGCTAGCAAACAACAAGGACCGGCAGCCGTTCGACTCGGGATGTATTTTTGGGCCCAAGTAAACATTGGAATGTTCCCAAAGCGCCATTCCAATTGCTCTCGCAAATCGCGTCTGGGAAATGTTTTTGAGGACGTCGGAATGTGAAGGCGGTACTTGCGACGCACAAAACCGTTGGGTAGCACCCGTTGCAGTACTAGGATGAAGGTTAAGCTTACTTTGTTTGCTCCTGTCTGTCAGTCAGAGACCCCCCTCTGGTCAGGCACAGCGCTACTAGGATGGCGGGCGTAAGCAGCGGTTACATGCGTCTGATAAGCGCCTGTTACGACAGATCAGAACGTAAAAGCACCGTTCGCGCGCTCAATAGCGCTTCCATACGCGCGCGGTCGTGACCCACAGTGTCGGGTCCATATTGCCGCCCGCTAAGCGCTAGGGCTGCATGTTTGCGATGTACACGCACGGCGTCTCGCATTAAATAGCCGCGCGGATTGTAAAGAGACGCCAGCGCGCGAGTACCTCGGTCGTGGACAGCAGGGCGCGCGGACTCTGCAGTACGACCCTGCTGTCCATGCGAGATTTCCGCCTGTGAGGTTTGGACATATGCAGGGCGACTCTCAATCCCGCGGCAATGGTCGAAGCCCATCTCTGCCAAATCGCACATCGAAAATGATCAATATTGGCGCCAGCAGCATTGCCCACTGCAGGAATCCCATGCAAAAAGGTATGCAATACCGAGTGATCTTTTGTTCGAAGGTGCTGAGATTTATAGCGACGCCTGCAGCAAGCTTGTTGGAAGCAGAGGATTGGCGGTGCGCGGTTGAGCTGATACTATTGTTGCACGGTATGGTAACGAGCCACGCGACTGTGCATCCGCTGCCATGTGGTTAACGAGATTTTGAGACAATGTCATATTCGGTATTCGACGTCTTGTGCAATCACCTGTAAAGTTGTGAGCAATATTCTTCCAACCATACAAAGAAATTCGTCTGGAACTCATGAAGGTCGAGAGAAGGTCGAGAAGTCATACAAGTGTCCACTCATCCCTACGCGACATACCAACCAAGAGTGATAGGCTTTAAAGTAGTAGAATCAAGTCCAAACCATTCTACGAGGCGGTGGTAAAATGTTCTCGGAGGACAGGCACGAGACGAAATATCCAGTCATGATCGCGTAATTTCAGTCCCAGCTGTCTCAAGAGAGAAAATCGCAGCGACGCAACGTGTTCATGTCTACTGATGAGTTGGCGGTGTTGAACGCTCCGCAAGACCCAGCTGAAAGACAAAGAGGACAGAGATGTGACCGCCGGTACACCAGCAAAGAGAAGAGTGGCAAGACCAAAGAAAGCATCCAGAGGGTTGGGAGTCCGCCGATTTCGTCCGGACGGTCCAGCTCGATCACCAGTCAGGCCATCCTGAGCATCCAGGGCCCTTCACGATGCGGAAATGAGATGCGACGATGGAAAAGATTTCAAATACTTGTCAGTTAGCAGAGAACGTGTGACTGGGGAGAAGCCCATGGGACAAGCCAGGATGCCAAGTCGCTTGAACGGGGTGGAGTTTGTGGAGAGAAGCGCTGGAGCGCGACGGCGACAGGCCCGGCTGCGAATGGCAGGCCGCGGCTAAGTGCGGCTAGCTAGGGGAGGGGGGTGTGGTTTTTGGTGGGGATCGCGGTACAGTCCCAACAAGGAGTATGAGTAGATGGAGGTGGTTACCGCGGATGCACAACAAAAGATTTGATGATCTGGAATTGGCGGTGCGACAAGCGAATGGTAGCGTTCGCGATGCAGATCAGCTGGCAGTGAAGAGGAGTCGGGACAAGATTGATTTGTTAGGGCGCCGGTCAAGGTGGGCGAATGGAGCAGAAATGAGTGTAGATTGGAGGGATGATGGAGGTTTGAGTAGGACAGTGACGTCGCAGACGGCGGGGGAAGACAGGGAAGCCGCCACTGCAGGACAGAGTGGTGGAAAGGTAGAGATTGGGTAGTGGAGAAGGTAATTAAGGAAAAGGACTTGGGAAGGACTTCAGGTTGCAGTGGGTAATTAGTAGGAAGAAGGGAGGACGCAGAGGGGGGGATCCGTCCTGTCCGCGTCCCAAGTGCCCAAGACCCGAATGTAAGAAACAGTGTGTAACCATCGCCATGTCCCAAACAGACACACAGACAGCAGACAGACACACACCTAACACACTGACAATTATAAGAAAATGCAAGGGTGCAGGAGAGGTTTCAACTGGATCGTGATTGGGCGGCGCACAGGAGGGCTCAAGACAAGGCTGAAGCGTCCAGTGCAGCTGGTGAGGGGCGATGAGCACATGTGTTGGAGGAGGTTGTGGTGCGCGACAAATTGCTATGTTTGTATTAATTAGCGAGCGGACAGTGCATGTTACCTGTTACCTGTCGACCCGACGACTGGGAATAGCGAATGGATGACGGGTGATGGCTAATGGTTAATGATTAATGGTTAATTAATGGCTGTGTATGTATGTTTGTGTGGGCTGTGTGGAGAGAGAGAGAGAGAGTGTGTGTGGTATGTAGGGGCTGCCCGTGGTCTCGCCTTTATTCACCCGCAAGAGCAGCCGACATCCAACCGCCAACAACCAGCAGACCAGCAGACCAGCAGCCCCTCAGCCAGCGAGACAAGAAGTTAATTACAGTTAAAGTGAGTGGATGATGAAAAGTGGAGGTGGATGTGGATGTGGAGGAGGTGGAGGTGGAGGAGGTGGCAGCCAGCCCTACTGCCCTATCGCCCTAACCACTGCCCTACCGCCCGGACTACTGCACCGCTAATAACCCACTACTGTACTATACTCTATACCACCTAACGTCCCGCTGCCCAGTCCAGCCCTACACTACTACTACCCAACTGGCCCTACCCACCCTACATACAGCCAATCCATGCCCATCTAAGCCTCGCTCCCTCCCCCTCCCCCCCCCCTTAACACTCGACTTTGTTGCTTCGGCGCGATCCTAGGCTCGAGTTCGTTGTTGCGTCGGACAATCCTTCCCGCCGCGCAAGATAAAAGCCAACTAGCAAGGAAGACGAACGGACCCATTTGCAGCCACAGCTTTAATGCAAATCGTCTTCCCATCACCCACGCCCGCCGCTAGATTGGTTGTAGCCGACAATCCACTCTCCATCCTTCTTCCCCCCCTCCTCCTTGCCCCCCCCCCAAGTCTTAGCCTTGCTGCAGCCTTAAACCGAAAAAGACGAAGACGAAAGCGAATGAGTGCTTTTCCGCTCCCACGCTTTGTTCTTTTATTTTAAGTTTTAACAAGGAGTGGATGATGATGATGATGATGATGATGATGATGATGATGATGATGATGATGATGATGCATGCTGCTGAGAAAGGCTGAGAGTGCTGAGAGTGCTCAGTGCCGAAAAACTGCTTTGACATTTGACAAGCGCGCGGGGAATCGTCGGCACCGCCCATACTCCCACCTAAAGCACCTAGAGGACAATTGCCTATCTTAGTTGGCTCCCAGCCTTAGCTACAGAATGTTTCCATCCATCATCTATTCCACATAAGTAGCTAATCACCTTGGCGTTCTGGTAGTGGTGGTGAGCGAGTAGGTGGTAAAGGAGCCGAACCATGCATCGACCACCGCCCGCCGCTACTATCGCCCTTAGATTCTTACTCTACTTTGATATTGAAAGGGGGGGGAAGGGGGGAGGGGTAGAGGGGGCATGACGGGTGTTGATATGAGATGCGCAATTTATAACACCAACACCCAGATCCAGACTCTGAGCCTGCCAGACGACCATGAATGGACACTTTTACTTACCTACATGGGCTGTAAATTAGGTGCTGACTTGTTGCCCACTCATATCTGATGCGACTCCAGGACTTCGCTGCACATCTACTGCCGTTACATCCTTCCCGGCGTTTACTGAGCCGCGGAGCCTATAACTATACCTACCGCCTGGCTAATTCCACAATTTGTCCACTGACACTCCATGACGATTCATGGCCCGCCCATCAATGCCTCTGTCCATGCTAATTCTTGCCCGTAATGCTGTCTAATTACCTACTACTGCTCTGCCCTGACAGCTTGCTGGACTGTATCAACCCGCAATCATCCATAGCTTGCCTGCGTCAGTCAGCATAACCTGCCTTCTTCTTGACCGGCTAATGACTCGCTTCTTCGGGCATGCTATTCGCTAGCCCGACTCATAATCCCTTGCTCTGTCCACCCCTACCATGCCTGTTCATATTTTGCAATTGCTATACCAGGACTTTTGTGTTTTTCAAGCAATTGTCACACTGCCTGCTCAATCTTGGCTCTGGCATGCCTCTCCTTTCCACTGTAGCTTGTCACCCACCAGTAATATGCTGTACCACATATCTTGCTCGGGCTGTGTCGAATCTCTCGATTTGGATCACTCAAACTCAGGGTTCACACTTCTCCTCCTCCACTGGTTGATCAAAAGTCCCGCGACGCGAATAGCTGCTCATCATCTGATCATCCCATGATTTGATGCTCACCAGCTGGCTAATTCCGACAGTCACCATCCACGACCATTAGTCCAAATTCAAAAGACTTTTCGTATCTGCGAACGACATTAGCTCCAACGGCGGCCCACATTTACTCTTTTACCACCGTTCCGAAGACAACGCTCGGGCTTGTTTTATGTCAACGTTTGAGCCGCCATGTTTGGCCTGACCCGGGAGTCTGTATACACCATCTTCTTCCTCCTTATCTAGACCGGTCATCTATCGCGTATATGGTGTGATCATAGTAGCTGTCTGGAAGCGAAATAGTCGGTTGAGCGCGCGGCTACCCGGTCTACTAGCTTTGCCTTTGGCTTCCCGCAAGCGAAATATACGTGCGGGAAGTATTTGAGATTCGGCTATACCCTGGGAAACCAGAGCAGCATATGCCTGTCCTGTGACTGCTGGCGCTGCTACCCGCCGATATCTACGCGTTGAGGAGACGGACCCGCGGTAATCTGCTATTATTTTGCTCAACGAGCTTGCTCCAAATTCAAATCTGTGCAATCTCCACTGCGTCTTAAGGATCTCGTAGCAAGGAATGCTTGCCTTCACTCCTTGCCCCGTCAATTAACGCCAATCACACTCTCATCACCAGCGTCCGTCTTGCGACTCAGAAGCGATGTGCATCATTATTACTCGCGCGTTGTGACCAGTCTCATGTGCTGGGCGATGTAGAAGCATTGTAGAGCCAAGGTCTGACGCACCAGTACGCGCAACATTACCTGCCCAGCCCGCTGCCGTCACTACACGCGGCCTAATCTTGTCACGACTCAAAGTGACCCCAGCATGACACCTTTGCCAGGCTGTCGGGCAGATAGATGCACAGCACGCATTAGATAGCAACGAACTCTTCCAGGTAGCCGGTAATTTGATGTTGACATCTACTCCATGCTCTCCGCGGCTCACTCTGTGACAAGCCTACGACAAGGCCAGCCGACTCGCATTCTTGGCAATCAGATGCGTTCTCGAGATCAATCTTTGGGTTTGACGAAGGCCCGCAAAGGCAAATTTGATTTCATCTTGCCTGTATCATCCAAAGAGCAAACAAACAAATGCTTGTGCAGTGCAGGGCGCAAGTCAAAAGTAGTGCGAACCATGATCTGTCCGCGCCACGATCTACTATTACTACCGCTGCTCGTTGGTGGCGCTTCAGGGGCTGTCCTATTCGTCTGCCCGGGCCCAGCAGCGACATTGACAGATAGCGTACCATGTTCGGCCAGTGGACCGTTGACACGAAAATTCTCTCATCACTGTATCCGCAGCAAGTGCAAGTCATGTGCTCATCGCTTTAACACTGTTCCACTTTGGACTTTGTGTCGTGCTTGAACTTACATACAGTGGGCTGACTCATGGCCCGATCAAGCAGCAACATCGTGAGCTCTCTTTTGCTTAAGCTCGAGGACGGCAGAGTTGTCACAATCGTCCCAGAGACACTGTCGGGATCGAGGGCAGCTTGTCGTCCGGGATTCTTCCTCTGAGGACGGGGTCGGGCCTAACCGAAGTCGCAGGCATGTAGCGCCGCAGCATGATAGGCTGGATAGACTTATGTTGTGTGGATATAGCGACAAATTAGGAGCGATGCAGGATACTTTAACATGCAGGACTCTGTCTGTTTCAGCAGCAGATTGATGCCCCGTTGAGCAGTGACAGCTCAGCTGTGTGGGATTAGGCTATGCACTGGTGCTTGAGTGATTACATCGACTCTGACCAATGTATGTATGTATGATAGCAAGAAGAGAGATTGTCGACGGATCGTAGACAAATGCTGGCGCGAAGCACGCAAGGCAGTAGATTGAGAAATGAGGTGATGATGCTGGTCCAAAGGGGTTTTGGAATGCAACCATCAAAGCTTGTGGGGATATAGCGGGTGCATCAGAAAGCCAGGACCAGTTGATGCAATAGATATTGCTTTCATGCAGATGGAGCTAAGGAATTCAAGTCTGAAAAGCTCCGCATCCCCCGAGCCTTGCCTATACCTAGACACTGGCAGCGCATAGTCGATAAAGTGCTGGCACACCAACAGCGGACTATGTCATGCGAGAAGATGAAGGATGGTCACAAGCAAGGACCGGCCAGTCAAGGAAAAGCTTCAGCCTCCAAAGAGGAAGGCGACGGACAAATTCAGTCCATCATGACACTTGGCTGGGCAAAGAGACAGACGTATGCTGAGCCAGCCTATCGGGCCCATGCCAAGCCAGCGAAGCACCGTGAAAGACCGAGTGACAGGACCTGCAGGAAGGATATACCTGACCCAGCCGGCGCTTCGAACAGCCCTACAAGTCACATATGAACGTATCAGTGAGCACAGAACAGACGTGGGGAGGCTCTGATCAATGTTTGCTGATTGTCCGAAATGATGATATTGCTGTCGTCCGTGTCCGTTTCGCTTCGGTTCCTACTGCAGGCTTGTGATGCTTGCAATGATCCGTACACAATGAGCGACGAGAGATTTTGGTCCTTGGATGATCCTGGACTCGTGTTTCTTCTCACTTGCGGCTGCAACAACACATCCTGGTGAATCGTTGCAGTAGTTCAAGACTGAGCCAGAAAGCTCATGGGTCCTTTCAGTCGCGTGCGCGGAAGGTGAGAGACAGCTGATGAGTTGTCCATCTGACGAACAAGTGCAGAATAGAATAGACTAGTGGACTTTGGTAAATGGACGGGCTTCAGAGATGGCATTGGCGTCGATGGGAGCAGGGTTGGAGAAGGAAAAGAAAGCGAAGAGACGAACGAGACGCGAGATGATGGAGGAGCCGAGGAGGGTACCGGGTGCAGGATGCTGGTGGTCCGAGCGCAAACAGCGTCTAACGCGCAGGTCAGCCGCAGGTCGGTGCTCCGGGAATGTGGGGACGCTGTAGAGCCGCGAAAGTGAATGCTGAAGATAAAGTTGCAGAGAGGAGCGGGCGGGGCTTCATGCCAGAAAACACAGGCAGCGCTGTGACCGCTTGCAGTCTAGTACACTGTATGTCAACCGACTACTGCTGCCAGGGTCAGGACTGACTGACTGCCTTGATGCTCAGCATTCTCGAGGATCTACCTTACTTCCAATGCATGTCACACCTCATCTCAGGAGTCGGCAGCTGTGTTGTGGAATGGATGGAACCATGAAACCATCTGCCCTGACCATGATCTCCAGTCTGATCATATCAATAGCCGTCGTCATAGCCATAGCTGTGATCATAATCGCGCATGCCGTTCAGTGGCAGCATCGACATCGAGGTCAGCCCTGTGTCGATACCGAGACAATTATCCCTCATCAGTTCGCGGCTTGGCAGATGGGTATGGACATCGACATCGACATCGACATCGACATGCGCATCAGTCTGATGCACCTGTATAGTCTGTCAGTCTGTACAATAGAGCGATTGTGTATGCATCCGACATCGACTCCACCATTATAGACGTGAGCGGTATTGACATAGTCACGTGTACAGCCTTGAAAAGCTTGGCTGGGGCTGTTGGACTATCCTCTTCAGGCAACCGGGATCGGGTGTCGGCCCCGGGTGCCAGGAGCGTGCCGTGCCCAGAGATGCCCAGACCGTCGTCAGGGATGTTCTCAGATGTACCGCAAACCCCTACCCGCTATCTTGGAGGTCCTCAGGACTCTCAAGAGTCAGAAACACCACAACAAACATAATCAAACGTATATCATCTCGTTCTTCTTTGATACAAATGCATCATCGTCGTGCCCTCTCTCAAACACGTCCTTGGCTCAACTATAGTCTGTGTATCCTCATGTTTGTCTCGGCACTATTATCCCCTTCTCACACCTCTTGCATCCTCCGTGCATGCCCGCTGAACCGACTGGGAGCCCCGTGGCTGCAGATGCCCATCACTGTGACTTCTGGTCCCTACCTACTCACAGGGCTGGCAATGCTCTCCTGTACCCTGCACCGGCTTTTGACTTGCTACTCAATCGCCCATCATTTCCCCATCGCTATCCTATTCTATGCTGCGCTGCTGGCCTGGCGTGGCCTGGCCTGGCCTCCATCTTTTTTCTTCCATTTTGCCTGTATGCAAATCACTGGCGGCCTCCTTCTACCCTGCCGCGGCGGGCCAGTTCTTTGCCCTGTGGCCTGATGTGTTTGAATGATGATCATGATAAAATGTAGTGAGTGGCAGTTCTTGGTTCCGCATCCGCTGGTACTGGTAGTCATAGTGGATCCTGCTCTGTCTGGGCTCTGGTTCCCATTCTCGTTTCTCGTTTGCGGCCTGGACCAGTAGCTCGCACGCTAGACAGAATACGAGACATGACAAGAACAGCCGTCCACCCACGTCTTGTGTACGTCCAACATAGCTGGAATGCTTTGTGGCCGATGCATTCTGGGCTGAGTTATGCGCATGTCTTTCTGAGAGGGATAAGATGTCTTGTGAGCGAGGTTTAGAGTGGAACCGATCCTTCTCCCCGGCCGATGGCTGTGAAGCCTTGGTAGATGTATGATGATGACAGACTTCACACTATTGTACCCGCTTTCTGCGAACTTGACCACTCATACCCCAGCTCTCTATATTTCGCGGATATTCTTGCTTCCAAGTGCAGTCGAATCGCTGCTATTCGATGTATGGTCACCCATACCAACAAACGCTAAAGACACAATGCTGCAGCCCTAAGGCTGCCAGTGCACCAGGGCCACCTGCTACTGCGAAATGCAAAACGCAAAATGCATGCCATTCCACGCTTGCCTTGCGCCAAATAAACAATTGGCTCAAGCTGCAGTACAAGCGTCCACTCGGATCTAGACTAGTCGCCATAACGCCTTACAACACACCAATACTCAAAACATTTCTGCAGGTATCAAACATCGAAAGCACAGAGCCGCCCATTGAAGTGCCAAAAAAAGTGACAAGACCCGCCATATGCATCTCATACACGTCCGAGCCCGAGTGGCTCATCAAAAGCCGCCCAGTGTACTGAAGTATCCTCCATCAATAGAGTGCGCCTCTTGATCGAGCCTCATTCATAGCAGCGTGCCTCTTGACATCGAATCGGCGTGGACATCCATCCTCGACGTGTCTGAATATTTATCAGTCCTGGCTTTCATTCCTGTGTCTTTCATGTAATCACGCACCTTTGAAGAGTGTCTTTGCGAGAGAATCGAGCGTCACAGGCAGTGCACTCGAAGGGCCGGTTCTTGATGTGAACCTGTCACTTGTTAGATTCACCGTCCCCTAAACGGAGCAGTACTGAGACTCACACTCTCCTGGTGGCGCATCAGATCCGTCCTCCTGACAAAGCTCTTATCGCAGTTGGGATATTCGCAAGCCTGAGGACGGGCTCTCGATGGATTGTGAGTCTGCATGTGGGCTTTGCGGTTGTACTCTCGTTGGAAGACTTTGCCGCAGATTTCGCATCTAAAAGTCGCATTTTCTGTCAATGACTTGGTGCGACCACCTTTCCTACGACGAGTTGTGCTACAGCCGCTGGATCCACGACGTTCCGACTTCTTGCTATCTTTGTCATCGGTGGAAAGGGTAGAGACAGGAGTCCTAATTCCGAGACCACCTTCGTGGCAGAGTAGTGGGTGCATTGGAGGATAGCCATGATTATACGCATCGACAGTCTGCAGAGTCCTCGGAGATATCGTCATGCCGTTGTGGTACATGATATCATCATGAGACACCCATTCGTTCTCTGCTTTGATTGGAGTGTGCATAAGAATCTCAGATCCAGATCGCGAGCGCATCATTTCGTCGTGTGACGAGGTGGAGGATCTCTGTGGGGAAGCCAGCCGATGATTAACCATGTGTCTACCCTCCATGATGTTGGGTGTTCCAAATGGCGAGAATGTATTGGACGACCATGGGACTGGAGACTGCGGTGCCGGCACATGGTCATACTGCGCTGGCCAGCACTCAGCAATCGTGCCCGGCATTATCGTCGAGGTTGTCATGCTTGCCGACCAAGCTTCGGACGGCATTGGAGAGACCATTGCCGAGTGAGACGTCGATGAGGAGCATGCGGATAGCGGGTGTGAGTATGAATACATGGCGCCCATGCCATCAGACGATGCGTATGCGAATGACCCAGAGTCGGAATTCGTGGACGGTGATGGGTACGCCGGATTGTGTGTGCTTGACCTTGGCTCCATGTTCCCGCGCTCATACGAGAGCATTGCTTGAGGTTGGTGTAGTGTATCCATTGTGATGATGGTACTGTCGGGAGAGGTATTAGAGGGTGATGAGAAGGTAGGCAGCGTAAAGTCAAGACGGAGAATAAAGGTGGAGGTATATAGCTATAGTGTTGATAGTCCGTGGGGGTGAGCTATATGAGTGTCGAGGTGTGAGGTTCGCACAAACAAGACGAGATGTGGAGTGAATCAAGCCCTATAAATCTCTTGCAGCACAGCGGCCTAGCGGTGATCAGAAATAAGGGTAATGAGCTTGTTTAGGGCAAGGGCGGTGAACAGACAGCAGAGACGGTCTTGGAAACAACGATTGTCAGGACATACAAGGCAGAATTTACCGACAGAGAGGGGGAGGGTACTGTGTCCACGTTAAAAACATCCCTGACGCTCGGCGGCTGTGCGCTAATAGCCCTGTTTGGAGCATAACGGTCAGAGGCTTTGCTGCCTTGTGAAAGGGCGTCTTAGCTCGCGGAGAGAACGACGGTACCAGGACAGAGAAGTGTGTTGAGACGCGAGGGGTGGGGGGAATGCGCAACGAGCAGCAAGGGCATCACTGTGAGTGTTAGCAGAGTTTTGCGGAGAATAACCCATTATGCCCAGGGCAGCTCTGATACAATTGGGCAACATGCGGTCGGAAGCGAAAAAGGATAGGATCAGGCAAACACAGCTCTGTAGTCCCACAGCTCGACCAGGACCCCCCTCCCCCCCCCCCCTCTTCTCTCTCTCCCCTTCGGTACGTCTTCGCCACCTTTTGACGGGGACAACTGGTGCTGGGATGGAGAGTCGGGGGTCCCGTAGTCGACAGTCAGCCAGCACCGCGCGCCAGATTGGGCTAGACTGGCGTGAGGAGCTCGTCTGTCAGTGCCGAGCTCCGCGTATCATGGCGCGGCCCGCAGCAATGGTTCCGCGAAAAAGGCCGCCAGTTGCCATCGCATCGCACTTTTACGCGCGCCCGCTAGTCCGCGATGCAGCCACTCACAGCCGGCCTGCGTGTCGACAGCGTTTGGGTCCGCCCCAATCACTCTCAAAATACCCGCGCGTGCATTCTCGTCGTGTGAATCGGCTTAATTTGCTTGCATTTCACATCCACCAAATTAATCTCTGCCGCTCCTTGTCACACCAGCTTCAGCCCTGCTTCGTCCCTTTGGTACCAAATCACATCGCCTCCTCTGCCGTGTCTCCCCCCTTTGTCAATACATGACCCGGTCGAGATATATCGCAGCGATTGGCCGCCATAAATGTCCCGTTTCTGGTCAGTCGATCGAATCTAGCCCTTGACAATGATGAGCAATGTTAGATGAAGCAGACTGAATCCTCCCGGCGGCCGCTCCGCTACGGCTCGTCTGCTGGTCCGCTTGAGGCGCTCCTTTGCTGCTTGGGCTGCCCCACGTCTGTTCGCTTGACTTGCAGGTCACTTTGAACTTGTGCAACCATGGCAGTGAGCTGCTCCACCTGTTTTCCAAGCTCAAGAACCAATAATCTCGTATCGTCGTCTTCTTCTTTCGCTGGCGCCGGGGCTCTCTGGCCTGTGGCCGCTGGGAAGGGGCCGGGCAGACTCCCGTCTATCGAGGCGTAGAGGCTCGAGGATGTCGCCAACGGCCGTGGAGAAATAGGCGAAGGTCTGAGCACGCCACGTTTCAGGTTTGGACTTGCCGTTGGTGCTCCCAGAGATCTCCAAGACGAACTTCCAGCCGAACGACTTTGCAGGTAGTCGTAGCCGTTCTCAAAAACCCAAATTGCTGCGACATGTGGAAAATGCGTCAGGCGCAACAACACGATGCGCGCACTCCGTGACTGCTCTGCCGATGCAAGCAGTCGAAGTGGTCGGAAGATGAGTGGAATGAGGTTCTGCCATCCTAGTCAGTCGTCAAAGTTCAAGGCTGGAAACCATTTCAGCCCTAAAGGGCAACCAATCAAATATGCCGATATGCTTCGCCAACAGAGTTGCATCCCGCAGCTAAGCCATAACCCCACGAGAGGCCCACAGAGAAGCTCATAACAGCCAAAAGCGTGCAAGGGCTCCACACGGGGCAGGCAATCATGGGAAAAGGTGAAAAGGTAGAGCTATGACTAGCAGGCCAGATCGAAGAGGCGCAGGAACATGTTTGAGCGGAAGAATGCACATGCGCGAGCAAACAAAGCCTGAGCGCTTCCCGAAACGTTGTCCAAAATAGATTGGAGACTCACCACGGGTGGCAGATAGTACGTCAGTCGGTTCGACGTAGATGCCTCGAGGACGTAGACCGAGTATCTAGAAGAGAGAGATATGCGGTCAGCACCGATATGCACCGGTCTTCGCCTGATGCTTGGCCGTCGACGATGGCGCAAGGAAGATGATGGTCAAGAGGGACTGGTTGCAGTATGCAGTAATTGTAGTAGGTAGTGAGTGAACGTACCCAAACAGAAATTCCTCCCTAGCGTGGGTCATGATCTAAAGCAAAGGGTCGATATTAGCGCATGTCAAAATGGACATCCGTAGCCAATCGTTCTTGCCAAGCTCGACATATCTACTAGCGTTATGCACCTCCGCCTCCTCGACTTCACTTCGTATAATTCCCCATTTGACTGCCAGACCGATGCCATTGATCTCCGACAAGCGCTTTAATCGCGCAAATTTGAGGACAACTGTCTTGCGATGTGGGAATGCATCGACGGACATGAGGAGGGGGACGGTCCTACGCATGGGCATAGGCATGGACAAGGACAAGGGGAGACCGGCCCAATGTTCGCTCACCTTCGTAAGGCTGTTAGACAACAGCGAAATCAACGACGTGATCAGTAGTATGTTGGTCAATATCACAAATATGAGCTGCAGATCTGATCAGCAGACCCAATCTCAATGCGCATAACCCGTGTCCTTACCATGATGGCAGGCCCTAGCTGCTTCGAGATTTGCGGTGCCACTACAAACCCAAATTAACATCAGCCACCCGGGCATTGTCCTGGCTCCAGAGCCATTCCAGGTACTCACCGTCAAATCCAAGGTAGCTGGATCTATCCATCCGCATGGATTAGCCAGTCCCCAGCTTGTCAGCACTGCCTCACTCACCCAAAGAACACTTTGATCAAGATCCATGACATCTCCTTCGTAGTGAACACTCCTCTAGCTAGCATCGTAAATGCGGTGAGGAAACCTGGAACCCACTTAGCTGTTGTTGCTGCCTATGCACAGCTGTGACGAGTCGGTGAGGCCGCACCTAGGTAGAGTATAATGACGACACTGAGAAACTTGACGAAGTCTTTGGTCTGTCATATCCAGTCAATACTCGGTGAACAATCATTGATGCCTGGAGCTGTTACCATCTCCTTCAGACACGGTATCTGGACATGGTTAGCCTTTCTCCTGAGTCAATCCTCGACGCCACTGAAGGAAAGGGGGGGGTGGGGGCCCATAGGGCTGCAAGACCAAAGATTGAGGGGGTGCAAAATAGGATGCCTCATTACCAGTGTACCAAAATACGGATGTAAGCTGAGAAGTGAGCATATCCTTCGATCATCTTTAGCGAACCTTTGGCTATGGCGACCAAAAATTTACTGACCTTGGAAATAGAAACAGTGCCTCCAGAGCAAGAACATCAAAGGCAGTGTCGATAATTTCGGGTGAGTTCATCCGAAGTCCAACAATTCCTTCACACATGTCAGCTTGTTCGAGACCGGTGATATCGTATACTAACGCAGAACCAGAAATATGAAGCCATCAACGACGATCAAGACGTCGATAGCAGCCCAGATGTCCTGTAAATAAAACGAGAACCCTGCGTCCTGCAATTCCCCGAACTCGTCGTATGCGAATCCCGCGATCCAGATATATAAGAATATCTCAGCAACAGTGACATGATCGACGGCTTTCTGTGCCAGGACTGTGTAGTACAAGGCAAGAAACGACGCGAAGAACAAAACCTCAAAAGCTTTCAGGTATCGAGGTACTCTGAGACGACAGAAGAGATCAGCGGTCCTATCCAATGTCAGTATACTACCAGAGTTGAAGGTGAGTCACTCGGTCTCCTCGCAATCACAAGGTAGTAAGAGCAACACCCCATGCTTATAATCTCTCAGCCATTCATATCACAATCAATGGGTTTGTCTAGTAAAAATGACATTACGGTAGAATGAAAATATGTGAGGTATACCGTTTGTTGTACGTCTTAGCCTTTTTCGTGGCATGCAGGCTTAATTTTTCCCAGAAGACAATATCGCCCTTTCTGGTGGTGAGCATTCAAATATCAATATACGAAGACAGATTTTGAACTGTCTCACAAAGGATCCTACCTTCCAGATACCGGTGATAATTTTCTGCACTGCACGCTGCTTAAGAAATTTCTTCGCACCAACTAGAGCGGCGACCTCGAGGGCATTGAGTGTATAGAATTGAGACAGAAAATCTTCGTCTTTGAATGACGATGATTCACCAAGAACATTGTTGGTCCCATATTGGGAACGGCTATGGGAGCTGGTCCGGGACAGCAAGGGCTGATTCTCTAGTCCGAGTCTTAGTCCTCGCTGGGCAGATGGACTCGCTTCGTAGAAGTCCGAAGTGCTGCTCTCCGGTGACACTTCGTAACATAGGTGGTCAATAGCGTCATGCTCCGACAAGCCAGTCACGAATTTCCAGGCTACAAATTCACAAGCGTAGCCTCGTGATTCATTGACCCCATCTTCATCTTCGAATTCAAGCGATTCAAAATGACCTTTGAGTGCGCTTAAGTGGTTGTCAGGTCAACATTATTTCGGGGTGGTATCACAAAACATACAGTAGCGCCGCAACGATCGACTCGCCATGTGTATGATCGATAAGGTATGTGATCAGAGGAGTAAGTTTTTTGGCTGCATTGGAAGTGCGAAGCTCGTCGAACGTTTGCGGTTCTCCAATAGTTTCCACGAAAAGACTAGTTGATGGTCAGTGTCAAGATACTTAGCTAGTGTGCGACTTGGAGCTTGCAAGTCGTAGTATCCGGACGTAAGATGACAAAAGTAGCGGATGCTGAGTTATTCAATTCGCCAAACGACTGAACAGATCCTCTTAACACGTATATTCGCTCGATATGTTCAAGTCTCGATTTATACGGTTATGTCTGATTCGAGAAGTCGCGTGCGGCTTTCTTACATGCCCGACGAGTATTCATTCTATCAAGACCAAGATACAGGCCATACGCCATTATAATGCGCCATAACGGTTATAGTACGATCCAGGGGGTATGTAATGAAGTGCTTACAAACTCAATTTCCGTACCAGCTCTGCGAAAGACATAGACTCATCGAGAGCGAGGAGTTCGGGGTCCATTACATGACATGCGGGCGTTGTCGGTCGTGAGAACATTGTTGCTTACAAACGAGGAAGAGTAGCGTATCCAGAGATCTTGGTCAAGCAAAGATTCGGGCTGAAGTCAAGAGAGTCATGGTCGTGGTGGAAAGTAACATGGGCTTGGACATGGTTCGCGTGTATCGGGAAAAACGCGTCTGTTTCAGCTAATCCGTATATCCATAGTTGCATGGGAAAGCTTGGCGCCCGATGTTCGCCCTGTCACCAACACGCACGATTTAGTATAATCGACATTTTTATCTATTACTACTATACCACGCTTATATAGTATCTATAACTATATAGTATAGTATTAAAGAGATAGTATAACTAATATATAGTACTATAGACCTCTAATACCTCCTCTATATCTATCTAGAGCGCCTTTAAATATAGAGGTATATACCTAGCTAGACGTAAGAATATGTTAAGGGTAGACCCTAGGTATACTTAACGCTAGTATACTACGCCTATACTACTACTCTCTCCTTACTTAACGAAGCTTAGTAAGCCCCTTTTTAATAGTATACTCTATTCTATATCTTAAGGAAGCTAAGTAGACTCCGGCTTTCTCTCTTATTAAACTTACTATATTCTATAAATACTCTTATATCTATATATATATTATATTTCTATAATATTAAGTTTAATTCTATTTCACTCTCTAAGTACTTTACTATAGACTTTAGAGATAATATATAGAGTAACGCTAGGGGCGAGCCGGGCTAAGACCTAGGTCTAAATATAGAGTTATAAAGTACTAAAGAGGCAATCTTTAATCTACTATAATACTAGTAAGCCCTTAAATAAGAGATTCTTACTATAAGGAACTAAGCCTTCTAGAATTAATTAAGCTCTACTATAAATAAACTACTAAAGTCTCTACTTAAAAAGATAATCTTAACCCTATAAACTAACTAGGAACTATTAGAATCTAGGGACTAGAAACCGCTCTTATAGAATAGTAAAGTAGCTACCTTCTAAGACTATCTATTATAGTTATATAGCTTCTATAAGGTATAATCCGCGCTTAAGCTAAAGCTATCTCTAGATTACTACTAGGACGCCGTCTATAATACTCTACTAGTATATAAGAGAAACTAAATATAATACTTCTAGAAAAGGAGAGACTCTATAAAAGGTAAGGACCCTAAAGCCTTCTTTATATAACTTAAATATATATTTATAGATAGTAATAAGAAGGCTAAGACCTTAGAAAAGCTTTTATTACTTAAATATATAAACGGCTAACCTTAGTATAAATACTAACTTAAATTTAATAGGCTTCTACTAAGTACTAGCGGAGATAACTAGAAAGATAGTATAAAAATTAGCTATCTCTAAAACACCTTCTTAAATCCCGCTTATATATATATAGTCTCTATGCTAAGGATTATAGACTACTATAGCTTTATAGAAGAGATTAAGAGAATGATAATAAACTTAGAAGATACTAAGTAGTTTAAGGCAGCTAATAAGAAGTAGAAAAAGGATATAGTTACTATAATAAAAAGCACGGTAGCTATAAGGTTATATAAGTATTATACCGTAGCTAAATAGAATAAGAATAGAGATACTATTATAGACCCTATATATATAAGTAGAGACTAGAAGAAAGAATCTAGATCCTACTATAAGATAGAGAAGATACCGAAGGTAAAGTAGATTAACTAAGTAGAAAGAGATAGATACTAGAAAGAAGGGCTCTACTTCCGTTATAGGGTATTAGAATACTAGATTAAAGACTACCTATATACTAACCCCTTCTTAACCTCTAAAAGAATTATAAAGATTAATTAAGTTAAAATTATACCTCTATTAGAGATTAAAGATAATCTTATAGATTCTAGTAATAAGTACTTAGAAAATATATAACTCTCTCTTAAAGTTAAGAGTAGAAAATAGAGAACGTACTAGTAGATAGATAGACTAAGTTCTAAAGTATAATAGATAGAAACCTTATAGATATAGATATAGTTCTCTAAAAAGCTATTAGAACTTTTATACTTATTAATAAAGGCTACTAGTACTATACTATAATTTAAGAAGATCTAATAGAAGGTCTAGAACTCCCCTATATAAATTATATAAAGCGTATAATTAAGGGAGTAATAGATACTATAAACGACTCCGAAATTTATAGAGTTATCGTGTTTTATATAGAGATAGATAATTATAGATAAGATATCTACGCTTATATAGTATCTAACTTAGCCTTCCCGCTTATCCTTAGAAACCCTTAGAAAGCGTATAATAAGGTATAGACCGCGTCTAATAAGTAACGGTACTACTATAGCTAAGTAAAGTAATAGGTAGACGAAGGTCTTAACTACTATAAGCTAGAGACTACTAAAGAGTAGACGGATGTTAGGCACGTGCCTGCCAGTTAATTATACATGTATGTAGTAGTCATATATAAGTAGTGTACTCCACCCTTAAAGTAGTAGCTTCAAGATTCGGTCCTTTTAGTGTAGTTAGTTAGTGTATAGAGCCCGCCTCCTTATATAATCTTAAAGCTACTACGGGGTCACGGGTTTAACTCTCGGTCTAGTTAACTATTATTAAATTTCGCATGATTCCGTTTAGCTTGCTACGTTATATATACTTTATATATATAACGGATAATATAGTAGTAACGTTACTACGGTAAGTTAGCGTGTCTAGTACTAGAGGCGGTATTGCGAATATTAATTATATGTACATGGTTTATGCTAGGCCTAGTATGGCTAGCGCGTATACTAGGCCTATTATAGCTAGTTTAGTTTATCTTTTATAAGGTAGATGCCCACGACGCGTAAGGGCACGCGCCTTTAAAAAGGGGAGATATTATTAGGCACGTGCCTACTAGTTAATTATACATGTGTGTAGTAGTTATATATAAGTAGTGTGCTCCACCCTTGAAGCAGTAGCTTTAAGATTCGGTCCTTTTAGTGTAGTTGGTTAGTGTATAGAGCCCGCCTCCTTATAACGGACTCTATAAAAGAATATAAGAATTCTAAAGGGGCCCTTATAGTAAACGTAGTATCTATAGAGAATATCTATAAGGCGCTAGAGAAGAAGAAAGAGCTATTACTAGAATAGATACGGAAGATACTACCCCTATAACTCTAGAATATAGCTCTACTATTTTCTAAAAGGGAAGTAGATAAACTTACGCCGTACCGACTAGATATTAATTATAAAATTAAGATATATAAGAAAGCTAATAGAATACTAATAGACTTACTATAGGGGTAACTATTTAGTATAGTAAAGGACGAGCTCCTTATACTAGTAAAACTTCTAAGAGACCTCCTAGTAAAAGAGCTAATTTAGTATACTATATTAGAAGCCGTAGCTTCTATATTATTTATAAGAAAGCCCGGTAGAGAACTCTAGTTCTATTATAACTACCACGCCTTAAATACTATTACTAAGCCCGACTAATACCCCTTACTACTAATACTAGAGACCCTCTAAAATCTAATAGACGCTAAATAGTTAACTAAGGTAGACGTTATTACCGCCTTCTACTAGATCTATATAGCCCCTAGCTATAAATATAAGATAGTATTTAGAACTCGGCTAGGGTCGTTTAAATAGATAGTATATCTATTTAGGTTATTAGAGACTCTAGTAACCTTCTAATAGTATATTAACTCCTTACTATAAGAATAGCTAGATAACTTCGCTTTAGTCTATATAGATAATATAATTATCTACTTAAATAGGTTAAAGAAAGACTACTTTAGTAAAGTATATATTATCCTTTAGAAGCTCTAGAATAGAGGCCTCTATCTAGACTCTAGGAAAAGTAAGTTTACTTATAAAAAGATTAAGTACCTTAGATTTATTATATATACTAATAGAAAAGGTATAGGCCCTAATCTAGAGAAGCTAGAAGTAGTAAAGGACTAGTAGAAGCTAAATACCTAGAAGGAAGTATAATAGTTTCTTAGGTTCTATAACTACTACCGGATATTTATTATAAACTATTCTAAGCTAGCTAGACCTCTTATAGTACTTACCGGTAAGAATACCCCGTTCTTCTAGAAAAATAATAAGGAAAAGTTATTCCGGGCCCTAAAGAAGAAGTTCTTAGAGGCCCTAGTTATAGTATACTAGGACCCTTATTAGAAGACGTTCCTTAAGATAGACTATAGTAGGTTTACGCTTAGAGGGGCGCTACTTTAGAAAAATAAAGGAACTCTTAGATCTATTATAATAAACCTTTTCTACTAAGGATACGGCTTATCTCTAAAGTAGTCTATTATATAGAGTATCCTAGCTTTTCTAAAGGTAAAGGTACTTAGAAGGCTTAGAGGAGTATAAGTAGGTTTATAGTAAGTATTAATAGAGTATAAATAGTAACTAGCTAGTAGGCGAGTAAAGTAGTAATTATATTAGTATAAGTTTAAATTAATTACTATAGAACTATCTCTAGAGATTAGGTCTAAAGGGTCTATATAGTTCTACTAAGGTCCGCTAATTAGAATACTTATTCTAAGTATTTAGTACGTTACTTAGAATACTAATATTCTATTTCTAATTATCTAGTAGACTACTTAGAATACCTATTCTAAGTACCTATAATTAGCTCTCCCTATAGATGCCTACCTTAGCCTTAGATTATTATCTAAGGCTACCTATTATATTATAGGCCCCTCTTCTACGTATTATACTATCCCTTATACTACTTATACTAGAGTCTACGTATCTTTCTATAGCTCTAGCTAGTAATTTATTATATAATACCTCTTCTAGGGTACTTCATCCCGAAGTACTTTCGCGGCTACTTATAAGTAGAGGGTTATCCTAACTTTCTTTAGTAAGGAGCCCTTCTTCCTTTTCTTTTATTATACCTAGGGTTATAAAATTAGTTAAGTCTTCTAAGTCTAATCTAGCGAAATAGAGAGTTACTTTATCTATCTTAATTAATTATAAGGGTAACGAGATACTCTTCCCTTACTCGTTTTATAAGAAGTATAGCTTAATCTATAGAGCGGTATTCGTAAAGTCTAATAAGTATTTAGAGTATATTCGTTAAGGTTATTTAGTAAGTAAGTATAGAATTAAGACTTTAAGCGAATTATCTTATAAGTATTCTTTCTTTTTATTAGGGCTAGTAATATTACAGCTATAGTAGTAGTATACACCATG